GCTGCATTCTGGATTAGTTGTAAAATCACTTTCCTTCCTTCTGATGGTAGGGTCATCCTGTGAATAGCATTCTGCTTACAGGAAGTCTGGCTCCAACTTTTTATGTCACAATAAATGAAATCAAGGGTGTTCTGGATGATGGATATGGGAGCAACATATACACCTGTATCTCTTGAGTAGAGACATAAAACTCTCCCACATTAGTTGCACTATTTTACACAACTGGCAAATTAGTCCTACTGAGTTCAGCAGGACTTCCAGGGAAATGTGCACAGGATTGCAGCCTAGAGCCAAAGCTAGGCACATTAATTGCATGAATGCAAATAACACACATCTTCAAAAACCCATAAATAGCAGCTGTAGGATCATTCTTTTCTCCCCGCTGCACTTCTAAGTTAGAAAGAGAGTTTGAGGGGATCCATCCTGCTCAAATGTGTGTGTTTCTGCCTGTTCTGCTCTGTGATGTGGCGAGGCCTAGGCAGGATGCAAGGTAAAGTGAGGTTCAGGCTGGATACAGGGCAAGCTGAGTCAAGACAACCAAAAATTGTAGAGGCCAATGTCAGTAAAGCTACATGATTCAGATGCAGCCTTATGCTGCTTTCCCCAGAAGCTTGGCAAAATTATAGAGCAGGCTATGCAAGTACCTCTACCCTTTGTCCTCAGCATCTCTCAATCAGAGTTATACGGGAGGTTCCAGGTAGCTATAATAGCTAAAATTGCATGATGCTGGCTACTTCTTAGCTCTAATTTTAGCAGCTCTTACAACAAAAGAGCTGCTGTGAGCAAAATCTGGCACCGATAAATTGATGGAAGGTTTAGTCAATGCTTTCACATAGATCCGGAGCTGCATTTAGATGAAAACACTTTTAGATGCTTATCAGACTTAGATGTGCTGGGTAACATAAAGATGAGTGTTGCAAGAAACTTGGCATACTTGGCATGCCATTGGGGTGAGGAAGTTTGTACAGGACCTATAATCATCACTGATGTATTGTGCAAGCTTATAATCCAGTGTTGGTGCATAAGCGCTCACTGTTAAAACCGTGTTTATGGAAGACAATCTTACTCGGCTACAAGTGATCGTCAAAGAAGAAAGAAGAAGATTGTGCAACACAACCCTATTTATTCAGAAGTCAGTCCCGCTGAGTTATCTGGGGCTTACTCCCAAGTAAGTACAGTGGTACCTCGGGTTACAGACGCTTCAGGTTACAGACGCTTCAGGTTAAGAACTTTGCTTCAGCGGGAGCTCCCATTAGCTAAAGTGGTGCTTCAGGTTAAGAACAGTTTCAGGTTAAGAATGGACCTCTGGAACGAATTAAGTTCTTAACCTGAGGTACCACTGTATGCTTAGAATTGCTGCCATTGTGGTTTAGCTGTATGGAAAAAGAGAGAGATTTAGATCAAACTTAGAGTTGCCTTCTGAGCTATTTTTTTTAAGAGATAGGCAAGGTAAGAAAAGACATTGCACGTAATTCTATGTGATTCCAATATAAAATGACCTAAGTTTCCAGTGAAAAAACATTCTGATATGACTCATTAATGCTGATTGAACACTCTTTTGTTTCCAGAGTGGGTTCATTGTTTGCTGTGGGGTAAAACAATATCTGGTAAAGAATTATTCTAAAAGCACACTAGGAGGTTACTGTGTTCCAGTTCAAATTGTGTTAAGCTAATTGACCTGAAAGGAGCTTACAACTGATATACATCCTTTGTCTGCCTACAACAACGTGACATGATTACTGTATTCTGTGCGTGAATATTTAATGGTTTTTTTCATATGCATCTTTTAAAAATTAATTTTCACATACTAATTACAACTCACATTATTACAATGTGAGAGGAGGAAACAAAAACCATGGTACAAAGATATGGTACAAAAGCTATGTTCCTCCATGAAACAATGAGACTTTTTAGGCTGTACTCCTATACTGTACACACTTACCAGGAAGGAAACCTGCAACAGGACTGATTTCTGAGTAGACATGTAGGAGTTGGTGCCATTTGGTCAAGTAATCAGTTAAATGTAAATAATCTGCATACAGAAAACATCAGCATGGGTGTCTCTTTTGAGGGCACTGAAGGAACTATGAGACAAGTTATTAAATGTTCTTTATGTTTCAGCATTTTGGGCCTCAAAGTGGTCGCTTGCCTTTGAAATGTCATCCTGCAATTATACTAGTTAGCTTTTAAAAGATGCCATAAGATTTTTTGCAAGAACCACCCAAAAAACAACAAAAAAGCACACAACTATTCTTCTGAAACATATTATTAATTAACTAATTAATTAAATTTGTTAGTCGCTTTAACTTGCCCAAGGCAACCTGAAACAACTTACTGGTAGAAACTTATCTGTGGACAGTAGCCTTTTCCACAGCCTGTTTCCCTGTGAATATGCATGCAGCTGCCATTATTCCAAAATCATTTATTGTGATATGCATTTGCTCCCATCTACTTGCCTGGAGTTTAAATGGGGTACACCTGCAAAGAATGATTTCGATGCAATGAGTACAGTGGTACCTCGGGTTAAGTACTTAATTTGTTCTGGAGGTCCGTTCTTAACCTGAAACTGTTCTTAACCTGAGGTACCACTTTAGCTAATGGGGCCTCCCGCTGCCGCCGCGCCGCTGGAGCACAATTTCTGTCCTCATCCTGAAGCAACGTTCTTAACCTGAGGTACTATTTCTGGATTAGCGGAGTCTGTAACCTGAAGCGTATGTAACCCGAGGTACCACTGTAATGTCTTGCTTCAGAGATATTACTTTAATAGCAATATAATCTAATTAGACAGTTCAATTGTGTTTGCTCAGCTAAATGCAAGTCCTTTTTTCTGCTGGACACATCTCAAGTTACTCCTGTATTTATGTGGATGAAGAATGAGTGAGAAAGCCAAGAGTGGCTCTGGATGTGACGCTTAGATGGTCTCGTATAACCTCCTGATTTTACTTGCTTATTAAAAGCAGAGATCTCTATAGCACTCTTAGGGACCTGCCATTTTTTGTCTTAGTAATTTTGAAATGGTTCCAGTGCATCAGACCCCTTTTGTCTTTCTACTGATTAAATCAGTTCTGACTTTATTGCTGATCTTACATTAGAGACCTGAGAAATGCCCTGTAATTTCTCTTTGAAATTCTCTCTGAAGCTGCCCATTTTTTCTATGTATATGTCAAAACTCAAAGCCAACCAATCAATGACAAACCATTAAAATCTAATACTTTAAATAATAACTACTTTAAAATGCGTGGGTAGGACAGACTTTGTAACACATATTGTTTTAATTAAGGGATGCAATCTCCCGAAGTACATTCAATACTGTGCAACTTCTCATGCATTTCCTCAAGAAAATAACATTTATTTATTATTTATTAAAAACAGTTATAGATACACTTTCTGTTGCACTGCAATGCCCAAAGTGGCTTACAACCAACAACATTAATTAATGTATAAAAGCAATAAATAGCATCAGCAGCAAACACAAAGTTAGGGGATCGTAGCTAATACAAAACTCAGCTAAGTCCATAAGCTTTTTGAAACAACATGAGGGGTTTTTTTTTAATGGCAATGAAAAGCTCACCGGAAGTGGGCAAAGCAGATTTCCCAGGATCATAAAATTTGGGAGAGACCTCAAAGGACATCTAGACCCATCCGTTGCAGATGCTGACCTGTGGCCATCCATCCTCTACTCTGGTGAAAGAGTCCACTACCTTCTTGACAGTTCATACTATCAGGAATTCTTCCTAATGTTTAGCTGAAGCTCCCTTTCTTGTATTTTGACTCCATTGGTTTGGGCCCTGCTCTCTAGAATCATTGAAAACAAATGTGCTTCATCACCTCTATGTGGCATTCCAGAGAACATGGTGCCCAGCAAGGGATAAAGTACTGAATGAACCCTGGAGAAAGCCCTCTTTTGATGGTGGAGACTGGTGAAATGATGATAAGACCCTCTGTCGCGTTCGTACGGAGCCCCCGGTCGTCTCACGGACTATTGACCCGCACACCACTAATCCGCTGCCACCAACCAGGTCCTCCCCGGTAAATCACTTAGTCTGAGTCAGGTTCTCAAGTTAACAAAGATTATTTCAGACCCAAACAAACTTTAACTGCATTCCAAACGTTGTTACTCTTTACCTTCTTAGTCTTATTTTATCCTGTCTCTTTCTCTTCTACCTTCCCTCACACAAGAACCCACTGCACTAACTACCGTATTTTTCGCCCCATAGGACGCACTTTTTCCCCTCCAAAAATGAAGGGGAAATGTGTGTGTGTCCTATGGGGCGAATGCAGGCTTTCGCTGAAGCCTGGAGAGCGAGAGGCATCGGTGCGCACCGACCCCTCTCGCTCTCCAGGCTTCAGGAAGCTATCCGCAAGCCTTGCAAGCTCGGCGGGAGTTCCCGCGGGCTCACAAGGCTTGCGGGCAGCAGCCTGCAGCCCCGGCGAGTGTCCGCAAGCCTTGCGCGCCTGGCAGGAGGTCCCGCCGAGCGCGCGAGGCTTGGGGCGGCAGCCTGTCGCCCGAAGCACGGGGAGCCCTCCGGAGGGTGCCCCGTGCTTCGGGCGAGTGTCCGCAAGCCTTGCGCGCCCGGCAGGAGGTCCCGCCGAGCGCGCGAGGCTTGGGGCGGCAGCCTGCAGCCCGAAGCACGCGGAGCCCTCCGGAGGGTGCCCCGTGCTTCGGGCAGGTGTGCGCAAGGCTTGGGGCGGCAGCCGCGGCGGGGGGGGGGAATAATTTTTTTAAAATTCATTTCCCCCCCCCAAAAAAGAGGTGCGTCCTATGGGCCGGTGCGCCCTATAGGATGAAAAATACGGTATCTCTATTTCTAAGTGCCTGCCAACTGCTTTTCCAACTGCCTTTCCCAACCAAACAACCAAACAAACAACTAACCACCAACAACTAACTCAAAGCTCGGGCTAAGCCCTTTTATAAAGAGGTAGGCTCCACCTCCAGCTTTCCTATTGGTCCACATTTTAACCCTTTCTACCCCCCCTGTACAGACATTTTCTAAACAAATGGGCAAACGCCACATCCTCCAACAAATATATGTTACAGCAGAAAGGCTCAAGTGGAAGGCAAGCATTCTGGTCTTAATGTTTTAGGGATTGGGGTCCCCATTGTGACACCGAGGGCACGGTGTGTCATGGAGACACCTCCCTGCTTTGTGACCACCCAGATCCCCTGCCCCTAGTATTTTTATTTTTTTGTTTTGTTACCATAATTGGAGCTGGACTGGCTGGAAACAAAATGCAGGTATGCAACCACCCCACCCTCTTACCTGACTTTCCCTTAGAATGCCTCTGGGTTCCAAGTGGGGGTGTTCTGAAGGCTTGGGGGGGATCTGTTGGTTTAGGGTGTGTTTCCACCGCTTTTTCTTTTATTTATTTGGGAAGTGTTGCCTGGTGTTATGTAATGAGTCGAATAGGATCCAAAAGGCAGCAGTCTGATTGGTCCTAGAACAATAGGATCCAGAATGCAGCAGTTTGATTGGTCCACAGGAGCCACCCAATCCAGCTCCAGGTGGAAGGGAATCCGCAACCTGATTGGCCTACAGGAGAATCCTGGAATTAGCCAATCACGCGGGGCCCATTATGTAAATAATGTATACAAGGCAGACATTCTGGGGAAACTTCCATTTCTCCTCACCACTATGAGCTGAATAAAGAGCATGAAATCCACTCTCAACTCCGAGTATATTTCACCTACTTTTTTGGTCTGTGTTTTATTTTATGTTTTCGAATGGGGAGCAGGTGTACATGCCCCCAGACTGAAAAATGTCGAGGACCATTGATTTAGGGCTTAAAAAGTAACAATCTGCACTTTCCACTGGATTATGAAACACTACTCAGAATGTCAAAGGTACAATCCAGCCAACGTTAACTATTTCAATCCTATTAATTTAATAGTGGAGTTTAGCACCCTCCTTTTGAAATCACTGGAACTGAGGAGTGTTTAACCTAGGCTGCATTTTGCCCCAGCCACCTGTACTCCTTGAAAAATCTTTTTTGCAGGCAAGAAACAGGATTATTGTCTGTTTTTTCCCCCCTGTGGTGAAGTTAAACAGAAGAAGAGAGAGAAAGTCCCAAGAAATCAGCAAGGAAACTTCCATATTGCAAGTGAAAGATGGCAGGAGATCATTCACAAAAATGGAAAGAGTATATCATATAGTTATCAGATGGAGTCTGCGAACTCTAAAGATCAATTTTCTTTGAAGACTTTTAAAATGTCAAGCTGATTTACATAATTAAATACTAAGAGGGGGTATTTATGAAGGTAATAAATGTGAAGCTTTGTTCCTTATATTCCAAAACCTAAAACTCTTTTTAACAGGAACTTTTAGATGTCACACTGATTACACGTACCCTAGCAACCAGAGTGTTGTTGAAACGTTAAGTGTATGAGTCATTGTAAAAAAAATTTAAAATACAGTGGGACGTTGTGAATTTTAATGCATGGCACAGCAATCCTTCGTAGGAAATTATTGAGTTAAAACTTTAGGCAAAAGTTTAAGTAAAATTAAATGACCCTCTTGTCGCACACTCCTAATGTAGTTCTGTGGTTTCAGAAAGTATTGTTGCATGCCATCCTAATCTCTCAGCAGTGAGATATTCCAGGGTTTTTAGGTGCTTATCCAGGGTTTGTGTTTCCTTTTGGGAATGAGGGACCATGGAGACTTAATGATATATGGTTTACTTACACATATGTACAACCTGAGCCTGAGTGCATTCCCTATTCCAGTCAGATCTTTAAACACCTAGAGACCTGGAAAACAAGGCTGAAATATATGTGTACACTACACTACTGTATATATATTTAAAAGGCACATCAAATATTTTCAGCTAACAGACCAGATTCTGGAGATAATCCCTTCTATATAGGGACAGCTGCAAATACAGACAGCCTCAAAGAAGCAATTTAAATTTCTTCCAGTCAGGCAAAATGACTAATGTTGGCTTGTTTATTGGCAGTCTTCTGCTAACACTACAACCTTCTAAAACAATAGTCAACCTGCTTCCCACCTGAATCTCCAACCACATACCTTGTTTCTTGATTCCATTAGGTTCAATTTGTTTTCTTCATCAAGGAAACAAAAGAGGACTTTTTAACCTATTAGTCACTCCACAGGAGTAGGCAGACACCCACTTACTTAGAAGTTTTTCAAGAGATTGGAGAAATAGGGAAAGTTTGAGGGAAAGGAAAACCACATGTGCAAATGAACACCTAACAGAGCACCAGGTTATTTTTGTTCAGTGACACTTCTGGGTTCTTAACATCTCGATGCAACAATTTCAAAGGGAGCTTTTATATGAATCTATTTTCAAAATTCAACCATCTTACTCATAAGAGTTGGAAAGGAGACACAAAATGGTGCAAGTCCAGGGGTTGTTTTTTAATGTTATTCAGTGGTACGGTCCCTGCCCCTTTCCCTTCACCAGAGTGTCCCCTTGTATGCTCTAAGTGCATGCAACCTGAGGGCCAAGAAATATAATCCCATGCACCACATCCTTCCATCCAAGTTGTGGTCTCCCTGGTTTAATATCCTGGGTGGTAGGGTGTGATTAAAGCAATGACAAACCTAGACAGCATCTTAAAAAGCAGAGACATCACCTTGCCAACAAAGGTCCGTATAGTAAAAGCTATGGTTTTCCCAGTAGGGATGTATGGAAGTGAGAGCTGGACCATAAAGAAGGCTGATCGCCGAAGAATTGATGCTTTTGAATCATTATGGTGCTGGAGGAGACTCTTGAGAGTCCCATGGACTGCAAGAAGATCAAACCTATACATTCTGAAGAAAATCAGCCCTGAGTGCTCACTGGAAGGACAGATCCTGAAGCTGAGGCGCCAATACTTTGGCCACCTCATGAGAAGAGAAGACTCCCTGGAAAAGACCCTGATGTTGGGAAAGATGGAGGGCATAAGGAGAAGGGGACGACAGAGGACGAGATGGTTGGACAGTGTTCTCGAAGCTACTAACATGAGTTTGATCAAACTGCGGGAGGCAGTGGAAGACAAGAGTGCATGGCGTGCTCTGGTCCATGGGGTTGCGAAAAGTCGGACATGACTAAACGACTAAATAACAAGGGTGTGATTGCGTGCTGAGCATTTCCTATGCTGTTTTCTTTCATTCTATTTATTATTGCATTTATATCCCACCTTTCCTGCAAGGAGCTCAAGTTGGAGAGTGTATGAGTCTCACCTTCCACATTTCACCCTCATCACAAGCCCATGAGCTAGCTTGGGCTGCAGTTTTGACTGCGCAATGTCACCCACTTGAACCCTGGTTCTCCCAGGTTATGTTCCAACATTCTAACCACTGGGCCACCCTGGCTGGCTGTTAGTGGCAGCACTGTCTATTTCCCCCCTTTTCATTTATGTCAATGCACGGGAACATTTTTGCACTAGGTCTGGGGCTGCTGCAAAGTTCCATCATTGCTTAGGCCAGGCATAGGCAAACTCTGGCCCTCCATATGTTTGGGACTACAATTCCCATCATCCCTAGCTAACAGGACCAGTGGTCAGGGATGATGGGAACTATAGTCCCAAACATCTGGAGGGCCGGAGTTTGCCTATGCCTGGCTTAGGCCATGGTTTGGAGGAATATAGGATATGTTCAGAGTCTGCTGCTCCCCTGGGCTGCTCACAATCCTAAACCTTTTTGGATGTTCTCCTGACACACCTGAGGTGTTCCAACATCAGTTTTTCCCTGTGTTCTGCCAAGATAGTGGGGCTTGTGCCAAATTCTGTGGATCCCAAGAGAGCATAACTGGAGTATAGGATTGCCTCAGGGGAAAACAACCCCAATTTTATTACAGAAGTTTCAAAACAATTACAGATCGTCATGACAGAATCATTTTTCTTCTATGTTTTCTCAGGGGCTGCTTTCTTTTGCTGGACCAATCAGGCTAGGAAGCAGCTTGGAACCAGGGTGGATGCAGGAAATCAGTTCAGATCAGCAAGGCAAGGTTTATTTAAGGAATGAGTCCTGACAACTGGGAGCAAACACCACATTTGTGGTAACAGAAAGCAAGCGTTTCCTTTGTCCTCCACAAACTTGTAACTCATAAGGGGGCAGCCAGGATATGGACATAAAATCACACTCCTCTGTGTTTTATACAGGGCAAAACTTGGCTTTACTTCACCCAGGTCAAATACCCAGCTCGGCAACCCCCATGCATATTTATTCACACACAGGCTGGCATCCTCAATGGCACCTCTCTGGAAGTTTCACCCGGGGCAAAAAAAAACCTGGCTTGCCCCCTGGAGCTACATTCATTTGTCTTAGATGAATGCAAAATTGTGTTTTTGAACATGTGATCTAGTAGATATAGGGCTGGAGTTGAACTGGAAATTGTTGTTTAGTCGTTTAGTCGTGTCCGACTCTTCGTGACCCCATGAACCAGAGGACGCCAGGCACTCCTGTCTTCCACTGCCTCCCGCAGTTTGGTCAAACTCATGCTGGTAGCTTCGAGAACACTATCCAACCATCTTGTCCTCTGTCATGCCCTTCTCCTTGTGCCCTCCATCTTTCCCAACATCAGGGTCTTTTCCAAGGAGTCTTCTTTTCTCATGAGGTGGCCAAAGTATTGGAGCCTCAGCTTCAGGATCTGTCCTTCCAGTGAGCACTCAGGGCTGATTTCCTTCAGAATGGATACGTTTGATCTTCTTGCAGTCCATGGGACTCTCAAGAGTCTCCTCCAGCACCATAATTCAAAAGCATCAATTCTTCGGCAATCAGCCTTCTTTATGGTCCAGCTCTCACTTCCATACATCACTACTGGGAAAGAACTGGAAATACCAGGGTTCTAATCCACCCTCATCTGAGTTTTCTGGTCCAAGGGGAATGCATTAAACTGTTATAGTTGCTTCAGTGGGGAAAAAAACACATGAATTCCTCTTCTTAGATAAAAAACATACTCGAAAGATTTTACCATTCAAAATAATGTATATATTTTTTGAGGCCCAGCATTCCTACTTCCTGCCTGCTGGTTTCCTACCTATGGGCTTGGTCCCAGCATGCCTCTTTTCTCATTTCCTTGCCAGCTGGCAGGGTAATTCTCTGCATGCAGAGGGCAGTCAACAGTGACTTCTTCCTTAGATCACCTGGGGCAACAGCAGCTGTTAAATGTGAGCTTCTTTTCTCGCTGATGCATTCGCTCTCCATCTTTCTTAATTTTTAATGGGGAGAGGAAATCAAACAGCCCAAGAAAATTAAGACATCTAAACACAGTTTCTCTCTTTCCCTCCCCTGATTTGTTGTAGAAATCCAGATGTTTCCCTCTTTGGCAAGGATATCTCGTATTTCTGCGCATGAACCATGAAGAGTGCCGTTCTTCTCTAAGATGGTGCAGCCATTGCGATCCTGACCATCAGCTGCATTAAATGCGCTTGCATGCTAGATTGTTGCATTAAATGCACTTGCATGCAAGTTTGTTGTGAACCTCCCTGAGATCTGTGAGAATAGGGCGGTATACAAATTTAATAATAAATAAATAAATAATCAATTGGGTGCATCTAGAGTCTAGACTGTCACTCTCTTTGCATGGGATTCAGTTGTATTCCAGCAAATTCAGAGTGTACAATTTTAGTTGATTGGGATGTCATGTGCAACAAACCCGCTGTCCCAAAAGATAAGACTTTTTACGATAAGGAAATTCTCTTGGGATGTTAAGGGGGAAAAGTCGGTTGTATTTCAATTATGGCCAAAAAAAAGTAAAACAATTTTTTATCTTTTTATCTTTATCTTTTTATCTTTTTATCTTTTGTATTTCCATAGTACTGCATAGAATTTAATGTATTATGTTGACACTACTGAATCCCAGACAGATTTTTGAACTCTACTTTAAAAATGAAGCATTCTTACGACGTTTACTGTGCCATGGTGTTACTGATGTTGCTATGTGCCCACAAGAAATGAGTTGCCTTGTAAAGACTGAATAAAACTAAATTTAGCTTGGGGGAGGGGAGGAGGAGAAGCTGTTAAAGGCTTGTCTTTCATTCAGCTATTTTTATCTTCAAAGACTTCCTCATCAGCATCTCACAACAGCAAGCTTTGAAAGCATTTTGAAAAGGTTAAAACAACACTCTGTTTATCATCCCTGTTTGCTGTGCCAAAAGATATCCCTATGGGTAACTAATTTCTGCTTCCTGAATTTAGACATTTTAAATGTAAATACAGCAACTGAGATGGCAAGATCTACTTCCATTGTCAGGAGTTCTTTTTATTGGAACAAACTACAGTGGTACCTCTGGTTACGTACTTAATTTGTTCCGGAGGTCCGTTCTTAACGTGAAACTGTTCTTAACCTGAAGCTAATGGGGCCTCCTGCTGCTGCTGTGCCGCCGCTGCATGATTTCTGTTCTCACCCTGAAGCAAAGTTCTTAACCTGAGGGAATATTTCTGGGTTAGCGGAGTCTGTAACCTGAAGCATATGTAACATGAAGCGTATGCAACCCGAGGTACCACTGTACCTAATAATATAGGCAATAAGCATTTTAACAATAAAAGGAAAGTGATTTTTACTTAATCCTTCAGAGCTACTGTAGTCAATAATAATCTGAATTAACATCATCATCAACATCATTTTAGGTCAAGACAGGGCCTGCCCTACCTAGAAGCAGAGGGAGACAGCTGCCTCTGACAGCAAATTCTGAGGGGTGGAAAGTGACTAGAAAGTTTATCATGTGTCTGCCCTATAGCTCTTAAGCTAGCCCTTTAGCTCTGAAGATAGCTTGCTGCTCTAGCATAGCAGGCACACTGGAGAGGCAACCTGAAGTGACCTGCCTCAGGCAGCATGCTCGGGGCGGGAGCACTGGTGGCAAACCTGCTTCAGGAACCCAAAGGTCTCAGGCTGGTCTTGGGTCAAGATCATATTTAGTAAAAAAGCAACCTCACAGGGTCAAGACACCAAAAGGGGTGGTTGTGGTGCAGGAGCCACCAAACCCCAAAATCTCAGTGGAAGCTGTGTGTTTCCCCTCTCCTCCTTTGGCTTGCTTACTTGCCGTATTTTTTGCTCTATAAGACTCACTTTTTCCCTCCTAAAAAGTAGGGGAAATGTGTGCGTGTCTTATGGAGCGAATGCAGGCTGTGCAGCTATCCCAGAAGCCAGAACAGCAAGAGGGATCGCTGCTTTCACTGCGCAGCGATCCCTCTTGCTGTTCTGACTTCTGAGAGTCAGAATATTTTTTTTTCTTGTTTTCCTCCTCCAAAAACTGGGTGCGTCTTGTGGTCTGGTGCGTCTTATAGAGCGAAAAATACGGTACTTATTATTGTAATCCCGCCTTCCCCCTCCACGCTCCAGTTCCAGTCTGTGTTGAGAGAATGAGTCCCCAGTGCACTTTCTTTTGGTTCTCAACACCAAAGCTTTGATGGCAGAGGGTATATTTCAGCATCTGCAAAAAGGAGACCTCAACTTCTGCTCTACAAAGAGAGGGAGGCCACAAACTCCTATGGCCCCCCAGGACACCTCACAAGGAACACAGGACTGAGCCTTAAGCAATTTTGAGTCATTTTTTGAATTATGTTTTCAACACTTCTGCAGCTTGGTTCTGCACATTTTGTTCTGTGATGAGACATCAAGTACTATTGTAAATTATTTTATACTGGCATACTGAAGGCATAAAGATGTCTATCTTTTCTGGTGGCATTTAAGCAGAGTCTGGTTGACCATCTGTCAGGGGTTCTGTAGAACATCCAGCAGATTGTGAAGTGAGCAGGAAGTTGGACCAAATAACTTCCAGTTATCCCTCTTGACATTATAATAATTATTTTCAGTTATTAGTATTACATTTGCATTCCTCTAAGGAGCTCAAATGGGCATACATGGTCCTGTCCCTCCTCATTTAAAATCCACAACAACCCTGTGAGGTAGGTTAGGCTGCGAGATTGTGCCTGAGTGGGGATTTGAACTCTGGTCTCCCAGCTCCTAATCCGATACCCTACACCACATTGGCGCTCGCTCTCTCCGTCTCTTTGAAAATGTTTTTATTAATTTTCAATTTTATATCACAGTTGCAACAACGCAACTCACAACATATTAACTGCAATGCCATAAACTATCAAAGCATAGTCCTTGAAAGTTAAGTCACATGGGCTCTCTCTTGCTTTTATTTTATTCTATATTTCTGGCTCCATAGTTAAAACTACTTAGCAGAGGAAGCTGCCAAAAATAATACTAACGAAGTGGTGCAGAGAGGGAAACAGGATGAACCGCTTTACACCCCACAATGCCTGGCAACCAGAGCAAGACAAAACATAGAGCAGAAAATAAGCCAAATCTCCTGTTCAGCACTGTGACAGTAGGAAGCATCTTGATATTTTTATGTTTAATGGACACTGTAATCCAAGTTAAAACACCTGATTGTTCAGCATGAGTCAAGAAGGGGAATTTCAACATGTCGGTCACAAAAGGCGTGCTGAGTAAGACAGGAAGTGAGGAATTTTTTGTTTGGTGGGACTAATATGCCCCTGCAGTTTTAAAATGTTGGTAGGTAAACAGCTCTGGAATTTCACTTCCACATTTTGCACTTCAGCGATTGAAAACGCTGGTGGTGAAACAGATCTCAATAATTAACAGAATGTGACATCAGATGGCATGATGAGTTCTGTGCCCTCCCATGGGAACGTCTGGGCTGAGTGGACTACAAACAGCCAATCACATTTACTGTTCACCCCAGGGGCATGAATCAGTTAAACATATACTATAACAGCTTGTTGAGCTTCTACCATTTAGCTCCCAGTGCTCCAGCCGAGATGTTCCTTTCCTCCTGCAACTGCCACTGTAGGAGGCTTCTGAAGTCCCATATTGTTCTGAGCCTGAGAAGATGGAAGCAGCAGCAGAAACACCAGTGTGTTCCAGCTGCGGTGGCCCTTTTCTCCCCCAACTGTCTCTACAGGGAAAAGAGGGAACCTAGTGTGAGAACCAAGCATGACAAAAACCCAGCATTTCAATAAAGGGTTTTCCCCCATTTGCTTTTCTGGTTTTATTTTGTTTTATTGCATACGGTAATTTTTATGAATACTCATTATTTTAATCTTATTATGTAAACCACTTTGTAATCTCCCCTGAAAAGTGGTAGATAAAAACCTCTTACAGACAGATAAATAAATACCACTATGTGCTCAGCTCCACGTCTGAGTTATGAGTTCTTAATGAAAAGTCCACAGTGTCAATCTTTTTTTCTTCTCTTCTTTTTTCCAGAGACACAATATGGGGGTTTTGTGTTTGTGTGTGGGGGTTAATCTTGCATTGTAAGGAATTAAGTTTACTTACTGTGTTTGTAAAAGTGGTTGTATTGGTCCTTTCAGAGACCTGCTACAAGTACTTACATTGCAAGATAAAGCTAAGGGACTGCATTGTTGTGTTATTACAAAGCACAGATTTGAGCTGCTCTCTTTCTCTGAAGCATGGATTGGAATTTAGGTTGCACAATTATAGCACTGGGCAACAATTTTTTACTTTTTGAATGTTGTCTAGATTTCTACAACTGATTTAGGGTATTTTTGCACTGCTGAATCAGGAAATGGCATCCGTTTCTCTCCATCAGGTCAGGTTTACTGTAAACTGAATGGTGGGCATTGATAAAGGTAAGTACACGTAAATTGCATGTTGCTTCACCATTTTTCAAACTTCAGGGCTTGAACTTCCATTTCTTGGAACTCCTGGAATGCTCAGCAGCAGGGAGGTCTCTCTTCAGAGTCCAACAGTAGTCAGCCATCATGACTGCGCCCCAGCGACCCTGATACCTGGTCTCCATCTCTTTCATGTCTGGATGGAATCTCTCCCCCTGCTCGTCACTCATTGAACCCAGGTTCTCAGGAAACCGGTCCATATGTGAAAATAGGTAGTGCATCTTGATGCTCATGTTGCAGCCCAGGTTTCTGAAAGCAGTCAGCATGTTGTTGACAAGTTCTGCGTAGTTTCTGGCCTTATTGTCAATACCAGGGAAGATTCTGGAGCAGATCATTAAGCAAACAGTCTGTGAGCACCTAGAAAGGAATGCTGTGATCACCAATAGTCAGCATGGATTTCTGAAAAATAAGTCATGCCAGACTAACCTGATCTCGTTTGACAGAATTACAAGCCTGGTAGATGAAGGGAACGCAGTGGATGTAGCCTACCGTGATTTCAGCAAGGCATCTGACAAGGTGCCTCATGATATTCTTGTAAAGAAGCTGGTAAAATGTGGTCTTGACTATGCTACCACTCAGTGGATTTGTAACTGGCTGACTGACCGAACCCAAAGGGTGCTCATCAATGGTTCCTCTTCATCCTGGAGAAGAGTGACTAGTGGGGTGCCACAGGGTTCTGTCTTGGGCCCGGTCTTATTCAACATCTTTATCAACGACTTGGATGATGGACTCAAGGGCATCCTGATCAAATCTGCAGATGACACCAAACTGGGAGGGGTGGCTAACACCCCAGAGGACAGGATCACACTTCAAAATAACCTTGACAGATTAGAGAACTGGGCCAAAACAAACAAGATGAATTTTAACAGGGAGAAATGTAAAGTATTGCACTTGGGCAAAAAAAATGAGGCGCACAAATACAAGATGGGTGACACCTGGCTTGAGAGCAGTACATGTGAAAAGGATCTAGGAGTCTTGGTTGACCACAAACTTGACATGAGCCAACAGTGTGACGCGGCAGCTAAAAAAGCCAATGCAATTCTGGGCCTCATCAATAGGAGTATAGCATCTAGATCAAGGGAAGTAATAGTGCCACTGTATTCTGCTCTGGTCAGACCTCACCTGGAGTACTGTGTCCAGTTCTGGGCACCACAGGTCAGGAAGGACACTGACAAACTGGAACGTGTCCAGAGGAGGGCAACCAAAATGGTCAAAGGCCTGGAAACGATGCCTTATGAGGAACGGCTAAGGAGCTGGGCATGTTTAGCCTGGAGAAGAGGAGGTTAAGGGGTGATATGATAGCCATGTTCAAATATATAAAAGGATGTCACATAGAGGAGGGAGAAAGGTTGTTTTCTGCTGCTCCAGAGAAGCGGACATGGAGCAATGGATCCAAACTACAAGAAAGAAGATTCCACCTAAACATTAGGAAGAACTTCCTGACAGTAAGAGCTGTTCGACAGTGGAATTTGCTGCCAAGGAGTGTGGTGGAGTCTCCTTCTTTGGAGGTCTTTAAGCAGAGGCTTGACAACCATATGTCAGGAGTGCTCTGATGGTGTTTCCTGCTTGGCAGGGGGTTGGACTCGATGGCCCTTGTGGTCTCTTCCAACTCTATGATTCTAAGAAAGTTCTTCACTACCAGAACAAATGCCTTCCATGCTTCCAGTTCCACTTCGTTCATTGACTTTCTGAACTCTGGATCTCTGATGAGCTGACGGATCTGAGGACCGTCAAAGATGCCAGCTTTCAACTTCTCCATGGTCAATCCTGGAAAAGCCTGGCACAAGTAAGTGAAGCAGTCACCATCCTTGTCCAGAGCCTTGGTGAACTGCTTGATTAAGCCGAGCTTGATGTGCAGCGGTGGGAAGAGTATTCTGTCTCTGTCCACCAGAGGGTCGTTGATGACGTTCCTTTCTTTGCAAGGCACCAATTCCTCCCGCACAGGCCAGTCCTTCTTCGTGTAATGCTGAGCACGGTCCCTACTATCCCACATGCACAGAAAACATGGGTACTTCGTGAAGCCAGACTGTTGTCCCAACAAAAAGTTCACCATCTTCAGGTCAACACAAATAAACCACTTATGCTGATCATAACCAATTTTCTCCAGCACATACTTCACCGCTTCATAGTTCTCCTTCAGTGTAGTTGAGTGAGCCAGGGGTATAGAGGCAAACTGGTTGCCGTTGTGTAGCAGAACACATTTCAGTGATCGCTTGCTGCTGTCAATGAATAGTCTCCAATCTTTGGGTTCGTACTGTGGCACTCCAAGCTTGAGCAGAAGCTGCCCAATATCTGCACAGTACACCAAGTCCTTCCGAGAAAAAACGGAGGTACTCTTGATGCCTGTTGCGGAAGAAGCTGATGCGAGCACTGTCAGAGAGGAGGTTTTTTCCCTTCAATCTGGATGCCAACAGTTCGGCAGAGTCCTTTGACAAGCTGAGGTCACGAACTAGATCATTCAACTCCTTTTGGGAAAATGGATGTGGAGCATCATCTTCAAGAACCACTTCTTCTTCATGTCCTTCAACACTGGAGGCATCTTCGTCACTAATGTCAGGAAGTTCTCCAAAGATAGGCACTGGAATTTCATCACAATGAGCTACAGGACGACGTGCTGCTTGAAGATCAGGATACTTCGTGGGGCGGCTGCCCCATTAACTTAGTTTTGATCCCCCAACTTTATGCTTTGCCACACCAATTTATGGAAGATTTCGAGGTTTTATGACTTCAAACTGATCCCTTTTTGACATAATCACCCAGAACTATCGGACCTGAATACTTCTTGTCATTAAAATAATCATTTCCAATCAAAACAATTATTTGACATGGCATTTTACCCCCACCAACTTCTAAAATGCTCCACACAAGCGTACATGTGAACAAAAACGTAAAAAAAGACGTGGCCATAGCTCAAAAATTTGACCTGATTGAGCAAAACCAATGTGATTTTTGGATTCAGCGCATCAGATTCGTCCTAAATTAACTGAAAAAACGCAGACAACAAATTTGTTGTTGACCAGTGTAGTTGATGGGGTCACAACAAACCCTCTTCAAAGATAGGACTTTATGCAATGAAGATAACAGGAGAAAACCACCTCACAAAATCATTAAATAGCCAACATCTTCTAACCCCTCTGCAAACTAATCAGTATGTCTTCTTCTTCTTTGGTGATCACTCATAGCTGAGTAAGATTGTCTTCTATGAACCTGGTCTTAACAGTGAGTCCATAAGTGACTGTGGAGGCCAATTCTGGATCCACACATCCTTTCACAGTGGGGACATAGGTTTCCGGATGGAAGTTGATCACGGTGAGAGTTTGCCAAACGTGCCTTCCTCTTAGCCCATTTCTCCCTTTCATCCTGAGTTCAAGCATCTTAAATTTTATGACACCTTTGGTAAAGGCTGTTCTCCAATTGAAGCACTTGCAGGCCAGCATTTCCCAATTGTTGGTGTTTATACTACATTTTTTAGATTTGCCTTGAGAGAGTCTTTAAACCTCTTTTGTTGACCACCAGCATTGCGCTTTCCATTTTAAAGTTCGGAATAGAGTAGATGCTTTGGAAGACGATCATCAGGGCGTCCAAACAACATGACCAGTCCAACGAAATTGATGTTGAAGAATCATTGCTTTAACACTGGTGATCTTTGCTTCTTCCAGTACACTGGCATTAGTTTGCCTATTTTCCCAAATGTGTATAATTTTTCAGAGACACCGTTGATGGAATCTTTTGAGGGTTGGAGATGGTGTTTATAAGTGGTCCATCCTTTACAAACCAAATCCTAATGAATACTCATTTAAAAAGCCAATGCTGTCTATTTCTCTGCGAAGAAATTGATAAACAGGTTGTCTGACTGGATTTCACACACTGGCCTTCCCTGTTATACCTGGAGATGTCAGGGACTGAGCCTGGGATCTGAATGCAAACATGTGCTTTGCCACTGAACTACAGCTTTTCCTCTCAGCCTCACTCTTCCTGGCATGAGCACAGAGCCAGTGCAGAGCCATGAGCACAAGTGAGTCTTTTGGAAGAATGAAGATTTATTGCAACACAAGATTTCATGTAAGAATAAGAATAGAATAAACCAGGAACGGAAGCTGGATAGCTCTGTTGGTTAGAGCATGATGCTCATAATGCCAAGGTTGCTGGTTCGATTCCCATATGGGACAGCTGCATATTCCTGCATTGCAGGGTGTTAAGACTAGGATTCTATGATCAGGTGTATTTACCCTCAGTTGATAGGTACACAACACAAACATATAGGGATATAAAGGAGGGTCAGATGGCAATGATAAGCAAAAAGTTTAACCTGTGCTTAACTATTCATAACAGCTTTGATGGCAGAACTAGCTGTGTTAACCAACAGATTCAGTTAAGTCAGTGGTTCCCAAAGTGGATGGTACTGCCCCCTGGGGGGACAGTGGGATTACCTGGAGGGGCACTAAGAGGCAAAGGGGTGGCTGGGGGGCACTGGAAGTATAAATGTCTGTCAGACTTTGAAAAGCTTTTATCACTGGACCAAGTTCATCAGTTTTGTTGAGTTAATTACTGTAAATAGTTTAAATTGGATTTTGAATCAATGTGCAATTAATTGTTACTGTTCTGAATTTTATTATGTTATTATCTTCCTAAGTGGGTTGTGCAAACCACTACTCTGAATATTGCTTTTTATAGGGTAGGATGCCCTGGGGATGAGTTTATGGAACCAAAGGGGCAGCAGCCTTAAAAAGTTTGGGAGCTGCTGAGTTAAATTAACAAGGCAAAACTGGGATGATTCTGTTATCACCAGTCATTGCTGTTGTGATTTTTTTATTTCTGACTAAATAAAATTGTCATACTGTACTTTTTGCTTTTGACCCCATACACCTGTCAACTCAGGGTAACACTTCATGCATCTGATGAAATAAACTATAATCCCCAAAATGTGAAATAAGTTGGCTAGCCTTTAAGGAGCCACAAAGCTCTCATTTTGTATTGATTTTTAAGGCACTAGCGATGCACATAAGGATGCGGGCAATCTGCCCGCACCCGCCATAGACACTATTATTGACAATCAATATCAAGTATAAAGACAAAACAAAATAAAAATTCCTTCCAGTAGCACCTTGTTGTTTAGTCGTTTAGTCGTGTCCGACTCTTCGTGACCCCGTGGACCAGAGCACGCCAGGCACTCCTGCCTTCCACTGCCTCCCGCAGTTTGGTCAAACTCATGGGCAACTAAGTTTGTTATTGGTATGAGCTTTCGTGTGCACGCACACTTATACCAAGCATGCACACGAAAGCTCATACCAGTAACAAACTTAGTTGCCCATGAGTCTGACCAAACTGCGGGAGGCAGTGGAAGACAGGAGTGCCTGGCGTGCTCTGGTCCACGGGGTCGCGAAGAGTCGGACACGACTAAACAACAAGGTGCTACTGGAAGGAATTTTTTTTTATTTTGTTTCGACTACAGCAGACCAACACGGCTACCTACCTGACTAAGTATATAGACAGAAAGAGCTAAGATGCGACTCTCGCTCTCGGCCCTTTGGAGCAAAGAAATGTGAAAGTCCGATGTCAGTCTTCCAAACCCTTTACCTGGGGGAAATCTCACGTATAGGCGCCTGCCAGTGAGGCTACTCTTAAGCAAAGAGCACGGCCCGGCAGGCTGAGACAGCAGTCCTATGAAATCCCACTGAAACAAGTGCAAACGTGGGACAGGACCGCTCCGCGAGGCGCCTTTTCTTCCCAGCAATACGGTTCGGCAATCGCTATACGACAGGCAGAAATTCAACCGGCGCAGCTTCCCCTCCCTCCCTCGCACCCCCCCCCAGGGGAGTGCTTTCTCTGCTGACCCTCTCCGCCACGTGACGCCGCTTTCGAAAGCCTGAGGGTCTCCCCATATGAGCAAAAAATTATAAAAAAGAAAAGGCGCCGGTCCCGCTCGAAGTCGACAGCTGCCCCAGAAAGGAGGCCCCTCGCGAGCGAGGAAGGAACGGGCTTTGAGCAGCCCTGATCTAGCCAACCCTCGCGCGCGCATGACCACCTTCCCAAGACTCGCCACGGCCTCGGAGCACCACTTCCTCGAGCCGGAGGGAGGAAGGGAGGGGGGAGAAGTTCGGCTTAGCCCCGGCCCCGCCCCTCCCTTCCCCTCCGGCTCCGGGCTCCAGGCTCCCTTCGACTCCGCTGCTGGGCGAGCGCAAAAGTTCGACCTTCCCCGCCAGCCTGGGCGGCACGAGGGCGCCGGAGGAGACGGGCAGCAATGCGCGCGCGGCCAGTCGGCGCTGAGCTCTGTGCGCGCGGCGCTCCGAGGGAGCCTCGAGGCGACCCGGCGGGAGGGCTGAGCTCGGCGCAGACATGGAGACCGCCAAGAGCAGGAGGAGCCCGACCCTGTAAGTGTCCGTAGAGATGCCCCGAACTGCTTCCCTCCTTCTCTCCCCTCAGCGGCCGGCGCACGTCTCGCCCGAGTCCCGGCTTCCCTCCTTTTGTTTTCCCGACGGGCATCTTCTTCCATCCACACGGTGGGCAGCGGGGAACAAAGACACTTGGCAAGGCGGGGAAGCGTCGAACTTTTTCAGCTTGGGGGCGAGGAGTGCATGGAGTATCTATCTATCTATCTATCTATCTATATCTTCCCTTTCCCAAAGCAGCTGGACATTTCTATATGGATGGTGGTGAGTGAGCTGAGGGAAGCATTAAAAAACACACCACACACTTCAATTAGAAAAGTGAAAGGAGGACCAGCTGGTTCTGTATAAGGTTGCTCCTTTAATCTAGCCAAAAAATGTGCCCCTCTGTTTCTGTGTGGCCAAATGAGCAGAGCATCAGGAGGCTTAAGTCAAGGGCTCACTTTCGTTTTCACTAATAAATATGGAACCGACAAGTAAGGCTTTAATATAGTTAGATCCTGCTCATGATTCTGCACTAGGTGTCCAGGGGGCCGGCAGTCCAAAGTTTAGGCGTTGACCTTTACGGCTAGTAAAAGAGTAGCCGACTTTTGCAGGAAAATATTGGGTGGGTGGAGTCAAAGTGCTTCCCTCCCCAAACAGGTATTGACCATGGGCAGCGCATGACAGTGGTTTTCCACCATGAACAACATTTCAGTATGTCAGCGGAACCAACAAGGTGGCACCAATCTGTCCCCCAGTGGTTTCCTTAGTGGAGAGCATGGGGGAAAGAAGTCATGGAAGTTCCCCCTTGTCTTCTAGTGCAATCCCAGGGCATAGTTGTGAAGTCAGATTTGGTGGGGCAGGGGGTGGGTGGGAGCAACATTGGCAAGCTGTCTCAGAGCCCAAATCCTTCCCCCAAGGAACACAGGGAGAAATTGCTCCCTGCCACCACACAAATTGTGCAGGGTCCCCAAAACTTCTTACAAATAAATACTGTGAGCTAATTTTTCTACCACCCTGTTGTTGTTGTTGTTTTAAAAAATGCTTGCTGCTGCTGCTTGCTGCATTCAGAAGCAGATTTGTTGTAGGACCACATAATTTTTGCAAAGGGAATTTGTAGTACAGTAAAATGAATTACAAAAAATATAGACAAACCCTTTCCGAATTACACAGAAGTAAGATACTGAGGAGAAACATCCATCCTTGCATGTTCTTTACCCCTCCCTCTCTTAAGGGTGGATCTACACACCTTGGCTGTGTTCAGGCATAACATTAAACCATAGTTTGGTATTACAAGAATGAACCAAAGCTTCCTACTGCTTCCTTGCAGCTGTTCCGGAAGTGTGAGCCCAAGGCTCCCTGTAGCTCATGTTAGTAATGTTAGTCCACTGTTTAGCATTATATCTTGAGTTTTAGTGGTGTTTCTGCAATTGTCTGTAATATGAATGTGAGACCTGCATTGATGAGAATATAGATTTGATTTCTGTGGTTCTGTCTCACTATTAATATTCTTAACAGGCGGCACACATAGCACCAGAAAGGCATGATATTGTGCTGTGTAGAAATGGTCAGTGCTTTTTTTCAGAGGGTACTCAAGGGTACACAGTACCAACACCTTATTTATTCAAATGTTAAAAGTATGGCACTTACTGTAACAACTTCATGGCGAGTACTGGCACCTTTTTTCCAAAAAAAGAAAAAGCACTGGGTCTAACACCATCTGACCTTTTTGTGAGATGCTAAAAGAGGCTAAGTATTTTTAGGAAGACTGATAGTCATGCTTGCCAGGAGCCTGGTTTCAGATTTGTGGTCACCTGTATGCAGCATGGAAAATCTGACCATTAGCTCATTATGAAGGGCAGAATGAGCATTAAGTATGTTTAACGAAACTCTTGCACTTATAAAATGTGTGTTGCAGATATGTGCATAGTATTGCTGCTGATTCCCCAGTGTAATATATTGCAGAAACCTGCCTCAATAAATAGATCACCAATCAGAGCTTTATAGGATGATAATACATTTGACCCTGCTGTTTTCTCCAAAAGGAAGTTCAAAGATCCTAGCACAACAGGCAAACAACATGAAACACCATCTAACAATAAAATGCTACAAGAAACTTGAAACAGACCTTCAGTTCAGTATTTCAGAAAATAACAGTTCAACTAAATATCAGTGCAAAACTCATGAATACAGCAACCTTTGTTTTAGCAAAAAATGCTCATTTATTTTTTACTCTAGCAGCCAATATAATAAACGATTCAGATATACCCACCCTAGAACCATCAGAAACCAATAGAAGAATGAGTCACAACTAATTAATACAATAATAGTACAGGATAAAAAGAGTCACCATATCCCAGAGCCCGCTCTTGTCAAACCTACTCTCCCATCACAGGTTAATTCAGAGGCAGAAAAGGGGAGACTGTCCATACTACTCAAGTCAAACTGACAGACCCTTGTCTCTCCTGTGTTTGTGACTATAAACTCCAGCCTAGGGCATGATTACAAGGCCCCAGTTACACACTTCCTCCAGAATAGTGAGCAGGAAGTCTCAACCACTTGTCAGGCTTGATGTTTCAAGCAGGTCTGTTTGAGTCAGCTGTTCTCTTCAGGTACATTAAAAAGTCAGGGCAGATGACAGTCCCTTACCCCAATGTGCTGCTTGTGGCTTTATAGCTGGAGCATGTTCACAACGACTTATGATACACTTCCTCCAGGGCAGGAACTTTCCAAGATTCATAGCATTCAGTACAATGTAATGGGTATAATTTACTGAAGACAATCCCTTTATTCAGACCTAGTCAATTTTATTTTTTGACCCTACGCAATTAATGTCCAGGGACAATTGAAGTGACTTAGGGGTCTACAGTCTGACTGCAATGTAATTTCTTTCAGCCTCTTCCCTTTATTGTCAGACAGAGGGAGCTTGTGGTTAGTTTGGGTCCCTGTACTGTGTGATTAAGGGTTTGTTTGTTTGTATGTTATGTTTTAGCAGTTCATGGTTAGATGTCGCCTGGTGTTTTTTGTGCAGTGTGATTAATGTACTGCAACAAATATCACAGTGCTGTAAGACATTTTCATATATGCAAAACGTGAGCACTTACAGAGAAACCACAGGGTTTCTCTGAAGGTAATAATGGATGTAGTTGGTGCAGAGATTTCCTACTGATCTTATTTCTGAAGATGTGAGGACAGAAACTCCATGTGAGGCAGTGTTTGCAGGACAGCATATTCATTCGATTTTTACCTCATCTTTCTCTGCCAGTGGTAACTCAGAGTGGCTAACAGCATCAAAAGAAAACTAAAATTAATGCAAAACTCATTTAGAAAGTGGTTGGGTCTTGCTGGGTTAGTTCTTTTGGCTGTTAGCACTTGACTGATAAACCGTCAGAAAGGGACTGTTGGAGGAACTCCTCCCTCCCCGGAAGTGAGCTTATAAAAGCCTCAATAGCTGATGAAGTGGATTGCAATTATATGATGTGAGTAAATATCTGATGAGGCGGGTGGTGGTCCATGAAATCTTATGCCACGAAACATTTTTTAGTCTTTAAGGTGCCACGAGACACTGTGCTTTTCCTGCAACATGGCTACTTCTCTGGAAATCAGTAACTGAGATGGTTCTAAGGTGGATCGTCTCCATTGGCCTGTGAATCAGAAAATGCTTTGCCTAGTTTTTGCTGCCTTTTCCCAGCTGCTGAGGCTGAAATGGGATGGGGAACCTAAACTGGAATTGTCTTTGGACTGCCAACTGGAACTTTGGATGAGTGAAATGTAATTTCCTCCTTCCCACTTTGCCTGGGCGTCATAACATGATGAGAACATGAAGGTGGGCAGCGCTAATGTGCAGCATTGCTCATGGCAGCAAATAACCAATTTAGTGGGGATTTTCAGTGGGAAAATGGTAAAAGGCAAAGGATTAATTCCCACTTTAACCACACTGTGGCCCTGATTGCTTAGGATCCTGTGCAGCTGATTTTGGCTGAAAATAAAAGGGGGGAAATGACAACACCGTGGCAATCCACAGTATTCAAAGATGTGTTTAAAGGAGCATGCAGTTTGACCCCTAGCTAACAAGCTGTAAAAAGTAGCACATCACCAGTTCTAGATGATATTCGTCTGACAGTTCTTTAGGGCAGTGGTTCCCAGTTACCTAAGTACTGTTGACCCCCTGTTTTTTAAAAGCCAAGCCATGAATCCCCTACTTTTGAAAGTGTTGATATATCTGTGGTAGTGTTTGGTATGTGAATGGTGCCACCATACCCTCCAACGTGTCCCAGTGCAAAACTGGGCTGTGTGTCTTCCGGGCCACACTCCAATGCAAGTCCCGTGACCTGTGCAAGAGCACGGCACCCAGAAACCTGCATTTTGGGGCTCCACAATCTCACGCAAGCCACACATCTGGCCATGATCTTGCACGTTTTTGGCCACTGTGCTCTCGCAAAATGGAATGTCCCAGACAGTTGACGGGTAAGTGCCATGGACCCTCTGTCCTAATTGTAACAGTCTTAGGCCTCTACAGATATGTATATATTTAAAAACCTAAATGGATGTTCGTCTTGGCAGAACATTCTTCAAAATGTGGGGTGGCCCTACATTTTTAAAAGTTCAGAAACAAACATCCATTATTACTTTAGAGTGCTTCTCCAAAAAGGAAACAGATTTTGCCCCACTCTGCAACAGTGTTCCCAAGTAGTGTGCTTTACATATGTTCCACAGAAGTGAATGGCAGCCATTCATTTGGAGAGAAGGTGAAGCACTGTATCTAAGTTCACTATAGAGCTCAAGGCTGAATTTGGTCATGCTAGGTCATGGCTGGGGCAGGACCCTATCTGAACTCCTGGAGAGCTTCTGCCTATCACTGTGGACAGTAATGAGCTAGATGGACCAGTCTGATGCAGTGTAAAGGCAGCTTCCTGTTCTCTGGATGCATGTGCTACCCTAATGGCCATGCACATTCTACTCCATTTTGAACATAATGAGAACTGTTAAGAATAGGTCCCCTGTCTATTTGCATAGTTTCACCTTGGTTCTCTGGCTATTTCAGAGTATGAAAAAGGAGAAGGAACCCATAAACTGTTTTTTCTGTATATCATTACTTTTTAAAAATAAAAAATGTAACACAACTATGAAGGAAAAGTATATTGTACCAGAAATGGTACGGGCATTAGCTTTATCAAGTTATTAAGATAGCTGTGGATTTTTGCACTGTTTTACTAGGCTATTTAAAGGTTTGTGCTAAGGAGCAGGAGGGTGAATTAATTTTTGTAAACCAGCCTGGGAATGCACTTGTATGATGGTATAAAAATACATAAAATAAATCTTCTTTAAAAAATGATAAGGTGTAAGCTGATGCAAAATTACTGATAGCTAAGGAGTCAAAGCAGAAATTGGCATCATCAGTTGAGTCACGAAGGTTTGGGATATAGTTAATTTACAATGCCTTTCTAAGTTTTATGGGGAGATGCATCCGATCCATGTGACAGAAATGATCAAATCTCTATGAAATGTATCAAAATAATGGGTGTATTCCAAAATAACCTGGAACACTTGTTTTGAACCCCACAGAATGGGGAGGGGAGGAAGCATCTTGTGGGTACGGAAACGGGAGGGTTGAAGCTGCTGGCAGGAAAAAGGTTCAAGCACTTCCTCACTCTTCCAGATACCCATCTCTCAAAATGCCTTTCTCTTGCTGAGCAACTAGCTTCCAAAGTGGCTGTAGAAGTCTTATGGGTTTCAGGAGCTGCTTGTTTAGTCCTTGCAAAAAGTGGTTGTGGGGGACACCAGAGAAGTCCTAGTGTCCAGAACTTAGACGGAGGACCAGAGCTTGTTACTTTATGGATGTTCTCAAGCTGTCTTTTTGTTTGTTTGCAATAAAAATAAGCATGCAGTTCCCCAAAATTCTGCAGTCTTGTATTTATAAAATGTGCCACAGAAGCTGGACATTTATTTGAATTTTTTTCCATATAGTGGGATGTATTTTTTTGCTTCCTTGTTTTATTTGGATGAATTGAATTGACGGTGCAAGGTGTGGTTGTTAGTTTGTTTGCTGTTTCTAACGTATGCTTTAAAAAAAAGTAATGGATAAAATGTCTTCACAATAATGAAGAGGTCTGTGTGCTGTGAGAGCCACATGTGGCTCTTAGAATACATGGAGCAATGAGTACATTTGTAGAAGGGAATGTCTTCTACAAAACAGGGAACCTTATTTGATGCATTTTCTAGGTGGGAGGGGAATGTTTGAATAGCCCGATTCCTGTGAGCTTAATAGTCAAGCGTCTTCTTTTCCAACCTGCTGTAGAGACTGTTGTTAAATTTCTCACTTAAGTGTTGGTGCTCTCACATGTAATTCTTCTATTTTTTTCCCCTTTAGGAAAGCTTCACAAGGATGCAGCATTGATCCAAAGGCAGCTGTTGAGCTGGAGGAGATTTGTTGCTCCCATTCAGATCTTGCCAGAACTGCTGAGTTCAACATAACAATGTCTTTGGGTCACTTAGCCAAGGGAGCCAGCCTAGATGACCTTATTGACACTTGTATTCATTCTTTTGGTGAGTTGAGTGATCTGTCTTTAACTATTTTCAGACTGTATCTCTGTAGCATTTTGGGTCCTTCGTTTTGCAGTGTGTTAGATATAATCAGGTGCAAGTACATTCATCACTGCTTTTACACTTGAGTCTCTGCATATGCTGTTATGTGAGTATCACTCTGTGTGTGTCCAGAATGTTTATCAGTGTTAAGTGCTGTCCTTGCAGAAAGAACAAGTGTGGCAGTTATAATCTTTGTGGAATTATTAAATCCCCTCCCCCTGTCCACACTTCTGAATAAATATTAGACACATGGAAATGCATGTAGACTGTTGCAGAACTCAGTTGCAATGTTAAAATCTGGGTATTGTTTCATGCTATCTTTTAGGAAAACTTGCATCTTAGCTAAATGAATGGTTGCAGGGGGGGATACTGTTGTTTAGCACCAAAGGGAAATAATAGCTTTCTTATAAAAGAGAATGATATGAAGTAAAAAAGCTCAGTGGTATAGCTTTTACTTAGCTTATGAATTATTCACTCCCCCCTTTTGCTGACAGAATACCTTTGAACAAATTTAGCATCATGCAACTGAATCTTATGGCTTTTACTCAGAAGTAAGTCTTATTGAGTTCAGTGGGGCTTACTCCCAAGTAACTGTACCTAGGACTGCAGTCTTAGATGCTTAAAATTTTACTCTTTTTCACCGGCTTCTTTCTTAGCTTTGTTGTCATTTATGTTCATAAAATACACGTGAACAAAAGCCATTAAATGATAAATGTTAGAATTCTGATAAGGTTTTTTTGAGGGGGTGGGGACATTTCCAACACTATTGTTTATATTTGTAGTTCTGATGTTTTTTACGCTGTGCTTTGAATAATTTGTACCAAGCAGTTCATTCATGCCGCATGAATTGGCATAGATTGTGATTTAGTGTTATCAACATACAGTTGAAGGTGTGCATTATTCCAGCTGTAGGTAAATAAAATGTGTTTTGTCTCTATATGTAGGAGGGAAGGAATAAATGATGCACTGCTTATCAAGTGCAAATGACTGGCCAAGCCATCTGAATTTTTGTTCATATGCATGTGCCATAATACACATTGATAGCTTTCTTTCCAGTAAATGATTTAGAGAAGCTGAATAGGCTTAGCACTTAGCACTCTACCTTCCTGAATCATGCTCCAAACAATGACTAATCCTCTCAGCACTTCTAGAGGAAAGTCATGCACATTATTTAGTTTCGACAAAGCATTTACAAAGCAAAATGCATATTGGGTGAAGAACTCATGCTATGGAACCTACAGTAATCATTTTTTGCACCCTGTTCTTGGTTTCCATAGTATCATGTGTAGTTCCTTGTAATGCATATGCTTGATTCCTCTGGGTTCCAGTGTTTTGGGGCCTGGGGACACATTTGGAAATCTAAAAATCACGAAATTTCCATTTCACAGAAGAAAAACCAGAGATGTTTAGACACCTCCACGCACAACAGGCAAAACACCCACAACCTCCAAAACAAAACAAAACAAAAAACCACAGGCAATTATCCTTCTTCAAAAAACCTCCCAATAAAACCAAGGCAAGCCACACACCTCTGGAAAAAACAATAACAGAAAAAAACTTCTGGGAGAACCACCTCCAACCAAAAATCAGGAAAACCTCCCCCAACAGCCAAAGAAATAAAGTGGACAGAACAGCCACATGGGACCCAGAGGCAATCTGGGAAAAGGGAGATGTGAGGGTGTGGGGGCTGGATGCCACACTTAGCAGCACAGCATTACCCAAGGGATTAAAACACACACACACTTAATAATTAAGAAATGGAAGGTTTAGGGACTCTGTGTTGGGGACCTTAGCTTTATCCACTAAAAACTCATGCTTTCACAGTTACCTAAGCGAATGTACTATTACTCCTATTTTTAAAAAATAAAATCAATTAGAAGAACTAAACTGTTGGTCCACAATAACACAGTCTGTTCACCTCTTTCTTGAAAGCATGTTAAATGTATCAAATGCAAACTATCATTTAGGGTTTTGCCTTAAGGTATGTTCACAATACCACTTACTACATCCGGTGTGCTTCCATCCGCTAATTTTTGAAGCCACATTCACAAGACGTTAGCCACAACCCATAGCAAACCTGCAGCTTATTGATAAATATTGCTTCTCGGTGCATTGTTTCTGAAACCAGCTTCAGTGTGTATGGAAACTGGATGCTGCGTAACCGGTAATGTGAACATACCCTTAACAGTTGTTGCGCTGGTGCGGTAGAGCACATAAACACTTAATGAAAGGAATTACGGGGCAAGGAAACAAGAAGGCCATGTGTATCAGGTGAAGACATCTCTGCCCCTCTCTGATGCGAACAACTCTGTGCAAATGTGACTTGAAACTTGTGTTTCAAGCTGCTAATGTGAACATGGAAGTAGGTAGGTTATATTAAGTTCAGTATAACTTTTCTCTAGGCAAATATGCTAGCAATTTCAGCCTAAGTTGTATTTCTGTGCATTTAGGTTTGAGTAAAAGTGAATAAAAATGGGCTGTGGAACGGAACTGCTTTAAATATGTTCTAGTAATGCTCTGAGGGAAACAGCAAGCAGGGATTACAAATTCTTTGTACTAAGGCTATTAAAACTTGATGCATTTTCATTTATTTTTGCTGTCAGGTGTCTGTGGGTATCTTGCCTAAATTATAGTCATATGCAGACATAACCTTTTCCAAGGTTCAACTTAGTTTGAGTATTGAGGACTGGACTACAGAAAACCAAAATTTCTTAATTGAAATAACAATTAAGAACACTGTCTGTTCCATAGATAGTGAAAGATTTAATGCTATTTAAAACTGATTTAATGCTATTTTAAGAATGTGCATTGTGTTAAGTCTCTTGGGACTTTCTAGCACTTTTGAAACATCATGAATTGAAGGTGGTACAGCCAGATAAGCAGCTTTAAGGAAGTTTCTGGTTTATTTTTGGAAGGTATAAACATTGCATTGGAGATAGCGATAGGGGAGAAATTCAATCCAGTTTGCATTTAAACATGAACTTTTAAAATCTGCACTTTTTGAAACAACATGCAAACCAAAACACATTTCTTTGAATTTTGCAATTCAGTTCATCAGTCAAGTAATGTGTACAAAGAAAGCACATACTATGGTAAAGCATATATAAATTCATATATTAGTGAAAACAACATTAAAATACATTATATTTGGGGACATTGCTTTGCAAAAATGTGCATATTTGGAACAATTGCATGCAATTATTAAGGAAAATTTTGGATAAATTTGCACTGAAATGTTGTTGGATTTTCATGAGGACTTAAAAAAAAAAGTTGCAAGCCTATGTGGAAATGTGGAGAACTGGGGGAAAAAAAAGATAAACTGAAATTGACATATTCACCCAACCCTAGTTGGAGATCAGCAGAAGTGAAGGGAATAAAGATTCTGCTCTCCTGCCTCAAATAGAAGAAGTGATACGTCTTAAGTTAATAAAAGCAGTAGTCAGTGTAGTTGCTCTGTTGGTGTCAGTAACTTGCAATTATTGCAGTTCAGACCCTTAACTCTTAAAATACACAAAGGTTTTGATTTCAAAAATCTGTAATTGCATTTCATTTTCTAATAGAAATCTTTGCTGATTTTCCACAAATTATAAAGATAACAATATTTCATTTTGTTAAAGTATAAAAAGGTTTGAACTGTGGTCGGGAGGGCAAATGCTTAGGATTTCCTGTTGAAATACAAACTCATTGTCGTTTAGACCAAAACTTGGCCGCCTTATAGATGCAAACCCTATAAGGTAGATAGATATTGCTTTGTGGAAATCTTGTCTTGGCACTTAAAATGAGTCCCGAGCTTACGCTTCCTGACAGTAATTCTGTCTAGGGTTTTTGTTTTTTGTCAGGGGCAGAATTCTTGGACTCCCCCCCCCCCCCCAGTATTGCATTTGCTCTCTAAATCTGAAAATAGTACAAATGTGATTTGTGAAGACAATTGTGTTAAATTGTAACTATTGTGTTGGGATTGAGCTGGGAGACTAACATGTAGACCATGATGAAAACACAGGAGTCTCAGATTTTCATTTTAAATGGAGAAATTGCTTGTCTCTCATAACATAAAAACTAAAAAAACAGTAGGTTACTGTTACATGTTTTTAAATGGCTCAGTAATGAGGTTTGCTTCTCTTAGCAGGGCATTGTCCTTCAGGTCTCCATGGCAATACCTATTTGGCATTGCTGCTCTACAGTTTTTGTAGCTAGGGAAAGGTTGCTGGGTCTTTCAGCAACACCCATGTAATTGAAGTAGAGCAAGGACTTGGCAGAAGGCAAACCAGCTATGCTCCCTACAAGGTTAACCTTAGTTAATGTGGCAGGTGGTAGAAGGGTCTGGATGTCTCTGCGTAGGGTGGTCTTTGTGTAAGGTGGGTCATGGACGACAAAGACACCTGTGTGTGAATATACCACAGACAGGTATATTTTGTCGTCCAAAGTACAATTGCCTTTCTAGCTAGTTTCTTGTTTCTTGTTTAAATAATTTGTTATTGTTGGGCATAGTGTTTTAAATAATGTGCTCCTTGAATTCTTTTGTTTGCATTCCTTATTGTCTTCTTGCACTGCTTTTGCCAAAGGTTGCATTCCTTTTTGTTCTCATTTGGACAAGACATACATTTTCTGAAGGAAAATGTCCCTAATAGCTTCCCTGACTCTAGTCATTAACCATGCTGGCATTCTCTTGGTCTTGTTGGCACCTTTCCTAATCTGTGTTATTGTTGTAATTTTGAATAACCAACAAGCATTCTGGAGAGATTTGATTTCCCCTTTCAACTTCCTTTTTACCAATCCCACATTTTTAGGTGCGTTCATGTTGAATTTTCTTAACAGTTGTCTCTGCTTGCATGTATGTTGAATTTTGGGGAGGTGACTATAGTGCTAGCAATCAGTTCAGCAACGTTACATGTTGCACCAGGTCCTCAGCACCACTTAAGATTAAGCCCAGCACAACCTTTTTTGTTGTGGCTGGGCCATGCATGTACCCTGTCTGTATGAGGATAATTGAAGTCACTCATTACTACTACATCATTTTGCCCTGTGAATACCTGTGGAGTTCATTCTGCATCTCAAGATGAGCATTTTGGCCAGGCATGTGGCAGTACATTCCCAGTACTAAATTACTCATGGGACCCATTAGTGCCATAGTGCCATCCCCAATGATTCTGTGGAGGTGTATTCCCTTTTTGAGATTGTTGAACTCTGTGCCCTCTTTGATGTAAAAAAAGACACCACATCCAGTGTGCTCCTTCCCTGACCTTTCAGTAGAGTTGGATTCAGAGATAACAATACCTTATCATTAATGTCCGTTCCACAAAGTTTCCATTGTGCACACTATATTTGATCTGAGCTTTAAAACCAACCACTCCAGCTTGCCCACTGTTTCTCAGCGGCTTCTAGCATATAAGCATCTGTGCATAGTATCTCTTTCCAAATGTCCCTGGCATGGGTGTTCTACCTTACGCCACTTTAGCCTCTTTGAATTGCTATCATTCTTTTTGTTAAAATAATTTGTATACCGCCTTTCATTTCAGGAAGAAATACTAAGGCAGTTTGCATCCTCCTGCACTGTCATTGCTTAGTTGTACCCTTCTCCCATGTGGAAAAGCATAAACATTTTCATTCACGTCCCTGAGAGATGATTGATCCCATACTGAATATTCCCCATCTCCTCACATCAGCTTTCCCTTAACAATCAATTTATAAGCTTGCTCTGCCACCTCCCCACCCCCACCCCCCATTTTAAATGCCAACAGTGAGGCCCTGTCCCATTTCTACAGGCCCTGCTTTCCTTGGTGTCTAATAAATCCAAACCCAACCTCCCAATGCCACCATCTTATCCACGCATTGAGACTTCTCACCCTTGCCTGCCTAGATGGCCCCACTCATGTAAAGGTTAGCATTTCAAGGAAATTATCTTGAACCTATCAACACTATCCTTCTACCTGAATTTTGCTTCCAGGGCTGCATGTCTACGTTTTCCCGTGTCACTCGAGCCAGTGTGCACCATGACCACAGGACTCCTCCTCAGTCCTGTCTTCTAGGATAGCTAGATGATATGCAACATCTGCAACCTTTACACCAATGAAGCAAGTCACTATCTGGTTTGTAGGCCTGTCATAAACTCCTTGGCATGGGAGGACATCTGTTCTCCGCTCTCCCCCCAATAGGTTCCTTCTAAGGCATCGTTTCCTTCTTCCTTAGAGTGATGCCCTTTCCCCAAAGACTCTCATTTTCTTTCACCCTGGGAGCGGTGACACCTCTGCCATGCCCCTGATAGTTCCCTGAACAGGAACTATCACCCTGGGAGTGGTGACACCTCTGCCATGCCCCTGAACACTTGGTCTACCAACTGGTCTGAATTTCTCCAGGCCAGCCAAACATGTTCCCTGAGGGTCAAGAGCTGATTGCACCAAGCACAGGGCACATAAATGTACCTGTGACATTCTGCACACAGAACGCTGGAAAGCCCCCTCACCTCTGCTGGTTCTCTCCCTGCATGTTTTTTGTAGGTTTCTTGAGTTACTTTATTTGGATGCTTGGGATTTGTTAGGTTGAAGAGAGAAGGGACAGACTAGACTCCTCAGCCTGTTGCCAAACTGACAACTCTCTGACTCACTTGTTCCCTTGACACTTTGTGACTGGGGTCAAGAGACTTCATCAGCAAGGGTTCCCCTCTTAAATTCAGAATCACTGTCTCTTGCTGCATTTAGATTTTCAAGATATATTCATAACTGGCAGGTCTTTTTAAAACAGTACTGCATGTTTCAACCATCATTCCTCTGCCAAAAAAAGTAATTTTGAATTCTTGACCTAGGCCTTTATTTTGTGGGTAGAACTGCAGGGTTTCTTGTCAGGCTGGGTCTATACTTGCTCCCTGTGATTTCAGAGACTTGAAATACAGTATCAGCATGGTTTATTTCTCACTTCAAAATGCATCTTAAATAATTTAATACACTTTTTTTTAAAAGCAAACAAACCAAAAATCCCCAGTCTTTGGTCTTTTATCTTTAAGGATAAACAAGACCATTATACCTTTTGTCATAGTACTTCAGATTACCTAATAAACTGCTATAGTTTTAACTATTCAACATGGAAATACAGGAATATAATTAATTAAAAGTATTTGCAAGAGTGAAAATGTATCAGTTTCCCAATAAACAGCTTCAATTTAATTTCATTCATACAGACCCTTAACAAATTGCAAAAATAAGTCAACGTAGTTTGTGTTATATAACTTTGGACTTAATATAGGAACAAATTATTTACCTTTTGCTTCTTTTATCTTTCAATAGATATCATATCTGTCTTCTAAATATGTACGTATATTAAAGCATCTTTGCCCTGAACTGTACATCTTGGATTTTATTCCCCCCAAATGTTCGCATGTTGAGATTTACTGTTTTGTATTAAAATGAGATTAATCTTTGTGCCATTAACTCATCCTAGTGTAATTGTGGCATAAAAGCTTTTATGTTGCTTGGCAACTGAAATGAAGTTAATAGGGAAGTAATCACATTACAGGAACAGAAGACTTGTTTAGAACCCTTTAGAATGCTAATTTGCTAACTAGAGCTGATTGTGTTTAACTAATGTAAAACAGCTATCTATAAATATGAACGTTCAGCCGTAATTGTTTTAAAAACAGTGTAAAATGGTGAGCAACTTCATTGGCAATGAGCTGTAACTGCTAACATTTACCAAAGAATTAATATCATATAGTCAATGAAAACTGCTGGGGTAAAAATTGTGATTTCCAGTGTTTTGAATTTTTTGGATAGAAAATATTTTCTGCTGTATGAAGTATATTTGTCAGTTTATTGTTCAGATAAATATAGTCAAACAGCTCTTCCATACCACAAACATAATGTGATGAAGCAAACCACCAAAAATATCAAAAAGGAGGGGGAAGGAGACAAAATAGCAATCTCTTCCCCCCTCCCAAACATGCTGCTCCAAATTTATTTTATTTATTTTAAAAATTTGTTTACTACTCTGAAGATCAAAGGGCAGTTCACAACATAAAAATACAGAATGAGAACACAAAATACATAATAAAACAAAAACAAACCAATACCCCCCCCAAAAAACCCACGTTTAAAAGACCATAGAATGGTCATTTAGCCAAAGTCCTGGTTATAGAGAAATGTTTTTGCCTGCTACCTAAAGATATGTAATGAAGGTGTCCTAGGGAGAGAATTCTATAAATGGGGAGCCACCACAGGAAAGGCTCGTTCTCATGTTACCACTCTCTGGGCCTCTTATGGAAGGGGCACATGAAGGAGGACCTCTGGCCTTGGCCTTTAATGCCGTAATTCTTGGGACCAGGATACTTCAGCAACTGTGGCTTCCAGTATGAACCTGCCTAAGATTTGTGTTTGGTATCTGAGGCTATCCTTCTTGTCTCTTTGCTGATGGAATTATGGTTTGCGGCTGGAGGGGTCTTTTCAGTTGTGGCAACTAAACTGTAGAACAATCTTCCAAGGGAAGCTCGTCCATCTGCTCCCTTCTTACCAGTTTTAGGGAGACACTTTGTTGTTGTTGCTTGCAGATGAGTTATGCCTCTTCTTCTGCTATGTGTTTGTGTTTTTATGGTTATGACTATATTTTTATTTGTCTTATGGTGTATTTACTTTGTTTTGTAAACCTCCTTGAGTGTGCTTGTTATAGGAAGGTGGAGGGAAAGGGCTAATAAAAGGCTAATAAAAGACTAATAAAAATGAAGTTATAATTATAGTTGTACCACTCTTTAAACAACTGCCCACATTAACACACGATGGTGTTCATTATTAAATCTAAGCAGGTCTTGACCTGGTCAGTGACAGGATGGAAGACATCCTTGGAACTTTTTAATAGAAGGGCAGGCTAAAAGTGTAATCAGCACCATTTAAAATGTATAACTAATGCTATTTCAGAAACTTCTTGGGGAGTAAAAATGCGGTTTTTGATGTAGTGGACTATGTAGTTTCTGACATAGTGGACTATGGATCTTGCCACAGAATAACTGCATTTCAAAGGGGAGAAAATCTGCTGCAAAGCATTGTTTGGAGATGTAACAGTTCACTGTCTTTTTATGCTTCTGTTTTAATTTTATTTTTACATACTGCTACAGCTTTTTAGTTGAATAGCAAGATATGTCTTATAGGGTTACCATATTTCAGAAAGTGAACATCTGGAAAGAAAAGTTATTGAGCTTTTTTTAACAAAATTGAAAGGAAATTGGACATTTTTGAGGGAAATCTGAAAAAACAACACTGCTGACATCAGTTGCCATATGTCCGGATTTTCCTGGACATTTAGCCGGTTTCTGCCCTGACACTGCTTTCGGCTGCAGTATTCCAGGTATGTCTGGAAAATTCCAGATGTATGGCAACCCTATGTCTTACTAAACCTGCAGACCCTAAGCATGCTCAACTTGAAATTAAGTTATGTGGAAACCATCAGAGCATCTAATCAGAGCAACAAGGTTAGGATAGGTTGGGTCATATCTCTTGATTTCTGCTGTCCCTGAAATCTGAAGTGTGCTCATGTTTCTTGTTTCAGTACTAGTTATAACAGGGATGGAGAATGTGTGGCCTTCCAGATGCTCTTGGACTATCAATTTCCATGATCCATGACAATTGACCATTCTGACTAGGGCTAATGGGGCTTAAAGTCCAACAACATACTAGCTGTTTTTACAATATATTTGTAAATTACCTTGAAACACCTGTAAAAGTTGATTCATAAATTATTACACAAATAAACATCTGAGGGGCCACAGACTCCCAATCTATGACTTGTTAGGAAAGTGAGAAATGAGACTGGAATAAAAACAGAAGACCCATAATTATGTGGCATGTCAGGGTAAGCTAACCCACTGAAAGCATTTGAAGGTAGCACAAAATGTTAGAATGTTGAGTTATTTATTATTATTATTGTTGTTGTTGTTGTTGTTTGTTAAATTTGTATACAACCCTTCATCCGAAGATCCCAGGGTGGTTCAAAGCAGAAAATGCGAGAAAATAATACAGTGAACCAATTCAACTGTCAGTTTAAGAAGAATTTGGCCCATGTGATAACCATGGCTAGCTATCCTCACAGTAGATGCATTAAAATTAATGGACTTAAGTGCATTGATTTCAGTGGGTCTACTCTGAGTATGAATTACACACACACACACACACACACACACACACATATGTAGGAAAGATGAATGCGGCCATATTGTTTATAGCATGTGAGCAAATGATTTCTGAAACTGAGAAAACACTGAATATTGATAATGAGCAGCATTTCCAAGATAATTCTATTTTTATAATGCAATGTTATTTTATTTGCAAAGTAGCCATAACTAAACTATACCACATTTTAAAACAGGTTCCTAATGCAAAATGTGGTAATTCTAACAACACGCTTCTACCACATTTAACATTTACTTAGAGGGTTTCTTCCCAGCAGGGTGTGTGGTTTTACTGACAGGTATGCAAGCGGAAATTAGAGTGAAGAAATGAGAGTGAGTCTCATAAAGCTTAAAGTGTTCAATTTGTTAAGGCTAAGATAAACTGAACAAGCTTCAAGTGCATATTGAAACTGTGCGGAAGTTGACTTAAAAGAATACTGTTTGCTACTTGTGCTCTTCTAATGCTTTCGTTAAAACAGCGTGTGTAGCTCCTGCATGAGAATGTATGAAAAATCCAAGATTTAGAATATAGCATAGATGTTGTTCTGTCTACTTTTGAGTAAAGAACTTATGAGCTGCTGGACAATTTGGGGGTATACCTAGCATATATCTAGCATTTGGGAGCTGTAGTCAGTTTTTAACTCCCCAGATCTTTGTGGATTTAATGCAAACCATACCCAGTTGCTTCACTGAACACTGTAATAGGAGGTTCAGCTTTGAAGAACCCTTGGGTCTACTTTTAGCCTATATAACTGAAGGGCACCAATAGGAGCAATCCTGAACCAACTATACTGGTGGCTGTTAGTATCTGGACCCAGTTAAAGGAGCTGGTTCTTACTTTCCAAGCCCTTCCTAAGCCTGGGGTCTGTGTATCTTTGAAAATCTGCTTGTATGAATCCACTTGCCTTTTAAAATAATCTTTGAGATCTCCAACTTCCTTTCCAAGAGGTAAAGTTGTCAAGAGAAGTGGGGGCAGGGCTTTCTCTGTAGTTGTCCTAACTCTGTGGAATGTCCTCTCCCCGAAGGTTCAACACTCGCTCTTTATCCTAGTTTCTTTGGGTTTTCATCATTTATTTTTTTTTAGAACACTGATAAAACTCATAATTTGTTTAATGCTTTGAAGTAATTGTATTAAGTGATGTTGTTACCCACCAAGAGTTATTATTGAAGTAATACATGTCACATGAAAATGAGGGTAAACTTCATTGTGTTGCTGATTCTATTTAAGGGTTTTGTGATTTTTATGATGAATTATATTTTGGTGCTATATTATTTTTTGGTGTGCTGCTTTGTTTTAGTTATGTATGTATTCTCTACCTGGGACCTTTGGGATTGCAAATGTTCTAAATACACACACACACACACACACACACACACACAAAGAGAATGTTATATATAAAGACGTGCACAACTGCACACACATGCATTACATAGATATATATTAATACAACTGTTTCCTCCTAGAACTATGTGTGGGTTGCTTTTCCATTTCTTTTCTTATCCTTTCCCTAATTATTTATTATTATGGAGTCACCTAGCAAACCCTGTCAGCAGAAATTGGCTTGGGAGTTCAGGAGAACCACCATAACTGTGGCGGGGGCAGGGGGGAGGGAGATTGTTTTGTCTGGTAAGCTGATATACTTGCACAGGCAGACCATTCAACATCACATGATGCTGAATTCCTGTGGGTTCCTTAGGAAAATACAGGGGAAATACAAAGATTCCTATTCCCCAAATACCTTTAAAGCTAAAATGGACTGGAAACAACAAAGGAAGGGAAAACCATGTTTTGATTGCCTGGCTATAGAAAAAGAAACACAATTTAAAGCAGCTTCTGGGAACTTTGATTTTTATCGGAGCAGTGGTGCTGGCAGAGAAAGGTTGTCATCCTTCCTTCCATACAGTTTTCCTAACCTGCTCCTCCCCCCCCCTTTGTTTTATCCTCACCACAATCCTGTGAGGTAGGTTAGGGTCAGAGAGAGTGACTGACTCAAAGTGACTCGCTGAGCTTCATGGCTGATTGGGGTCTGCTCCAGTCAAAACCAGAGCTCTTCGAGATAGTTTAAAGTAACAGAGAAGGATATCCCATATTATTACTATATTCATCTAAAGTATTGCTTCAAAAGTATATAATTCTGCTTTGTTGCCTTTTATTCACATCTAGCAACATTTTAAAAGATGTTAGAGCATGCATTTACCTTGTTTCAAGGGAATATATTGCGTATTAAACAAGCAAGGAGCTTATGTTTCTACTCAAACCAGCAAGTGTCTTTAAGAATTGAATGAAATTGCAATACTGTATTTGGCCAAATGCCACAGAACCATAGGCGGTTATCAACACTTGCAATGTAAGCCTTGGCTTCAATGTAAGTACTAGGGAAAATAGTTCACACCAGTACGCCCTGCAGCAAAATGAGTGTTAATGTTTAGCAAGTACTTTCACTAGCATTAAAAAGTGTGATTTGTCACTTTGTTTAGATAATTGATTCAGTCCTGTTCTTGGATTTACTTCCCTATAAGCCTGAGTGGCAATTTAGTCTAACTGAAGATCAGTCTGTATATAATTAATCTAAGATACTCTTTTGGGAACCAAGATAAACCCATCTTAAGTGCTTTGTTGGAGAGTAGGCCTTGCACTTGTTACTTTTCAGGTACTGTACCTCGGTTTAAGAACAGCCCTGTTTACGAACTATTCGGTATAAGAACTCTGCAAAACTGGAAGTAGTTAGCGAACTATACCTTGGTCTACAAACGGAAGCCGAACAGTGGAAGGGTACCGGCGGTGGGAGACCTCATTAGGGAAAGCACGCCTCGGTTTAAGAGCAGCTTTGGTTTAAGAATGGACTACCGGAATGGATCAAGTTCGTAAACTGAGGTACCACTGTAGTTTTAAGGAAGAATGCAAATTCACTTGAAGAAGAAGAAGAGTTTGGATTTGATATCCCGCCTTTCACTCCCTTTAAGGAGTCTCAAAGAGGCTAACATTCTCCTTTCCCTTCCTCCCCCACAACAAACACTCTGTGAGGTGAGTGGGGCTGAGAGACTTCAAAGAAGTGTGACTAGCCCAAGGTCACCCTGCAGCTGCATGCGGAGGAGCGGAGACGCGAACCCGGTTCCCCAGATTACGAGACTACCGCTCTTAACCACTACACCACACTGGCTTCCAGAACCCTTGAATGTGCCTGATGACCCTTGTTGTTGTTGTTTAGTCGTTTAGTCATGTCCAACTCTTCGTGACCCCATGGACCAGAGCACGCCAGGCACTTCTGTCCTCCACTGCCTCCCGCAGTTTGATCAAACTCATGCTGGTAGCTTCAAGAACACCATCCAACCATCTCATCCTCTGTCGTCCTCTTCTCCTTGTGCCCTCCATCTTTCCCAACATCAGGGTCTTTTCCAGGGAGTCTTCTCTTCTCATGAGGTGGCCAAAGTATTGGAGCCTCAGCTTCACGATCTGTCCTTCCAGTGAGCACTCAGGGCTGATTTCCTTAAGAATGGATAGGTTTGATCTTCTTGCAGTCCATGGGACTCTCGCCATTGTAAACGCTCTTCTCAAATTGGGCTCCGTCAGGTCTATCAAGTAGTTGGCAAGTGATCTTACCACTTTCACTTTAGGGAGCCACATGGAGAGGCGAGCTGAGGTGGACTGTGCCCGGTCCATGGCCTCATCTCTTGTAAGAATCCAGGCCCGGATTTTATGTTGGTCCCAAGATGACAACGTGTCGAAATCTGGGAGGGAGTAGCGTACAGTAATAGTCTCCATGGCCTTGGACCATTTGTTGGAGTGAGAACAAGTTAAAAGGCTGGCCTGGCTCGTAGGGAACCTGGGGCATTGATTAATTTGCAATAAAAACTAATAATTCTAATGTGGGCTCTCGCAACAATGGAGTGAGGCCCAGTTCTGTTCTTAACTGTGCAGCAACCGAGCCCTTGGGGAGACCCAGTATCTTTCGTGCAAAAGAGTTTTGTAGAATCTCCAGCCGTTGTAGTGTTTTTAAATTCCACCCCCAGATTTCAACCCCATACAGTAACATCGGGAGGACTTTGCTGATAAATGCTTTTCTGATTGGTGGAACCAACTGGCCGCCTTTTGCATAGAAGAATTTCTCCAAGGCTTTGATGGTTCTACGGGCAGCCAGGATGGTCATATTTAGGTGAGCTGACCAGCTAAGCCCATGCTGAAAAGTGATTCCCAAATACTTGAATGCTGAGCAATATTCAATAGAGTGGCCCTCAAAATTCCAGAATGACTTCCGAGTTTTCGTGCCAAAAGTAAGAATTTTGGTTTTGGCGAAATTGATTTTGAGGGAATTGGTATCACAATATGTCATGAGCCCTCTGAGCATGTTGTTTAAGCCCTGCTTGGTTAAAGACAGTATCACCATGTCGTCCGCATAGAGTAATATGGGGATCTTAAGCTGTTGTAAAGAGGGGCAGATTGATTTAGGGCCTGCATAGTTGTAACGATGTCGTTGATATAGAAATTAAATAGAAAAGGGGCCAAGAGGCAGCCCTGTTTGACCCCTTTATTCAGAGAGAAAGAATCAGAAAGAGCTCCCAGAGGGCCGAATTTTACTCTGGCCGATATGTCATTATGAATTTCCATGAGAAGGAGGAGGAGTCTCTTATCTATGTTGGTGGAACTAAGCTTCTGCCATAGCCTATCTCTGGGAATGGAGTCAAAAGCGGAGGTCAGGTCCACAAAAGCCGCGTGTAGTTTACAGTTGAACCTGTTTAGGTATTTATCAATCAGGGTAAATAGAACAAGACATTGGCCAGATGGGACTCTCAAGAGTCTCCTCCAGCACCATAATTCAAAAGCATCAATTCTTCGGCGATCAGCCTTCTTTATGGTCCAGCTCTCACTTCCATACATCACTACTGGGAAAACCATAGCTTTAACTATACGGACCTTTGTTGGCAAGGTGATGTCTCTACTTTTTAAGATGCTGTCAAGGTTTGTCATTGCTTTTCTCCCAAGGAGCAGGCGTCTTTTAATTTTGTGACTGCTGTCACCATCTGCAGTGATCATGGAGCCCAAGAAAGTAAAATCTCTTACTGCCTCCATTTCTTCCCCTTCTATTTGCCAGGAGGTGATGGGACCAGTGGCCATGATCTTCGTTTTTTTGATGTTGAGCTTCAGACCAGATTTTGCGCTCTCCTCTTTCACCCTCAATAAAAGGTTCTTTCATTCCTCTTCACTTTCTGCCATCAAGGTTGTATCATCTGCATATCTGAGGTTGTTGATATTTCTTCCGGCAATCTTAATTCCGGCTTCGGATTCATCCAGCCCAGCCTTTCGCATGATGAATTCTGCATATAAGTTATATAAGCAGGGAGACAATATACAGCCTTGTTGTACGCCTTTCCCAATTTTGAACCAATCAGTTGTTCCATATCCAGTTCTAACTGTAGCTTCTTGTCCCACATAGAGATTTCTCAGGAGACAGATGAGGTGATCAGGCACTCCCATTTCTTTAAGAACTTGCCATAGTTTGCTGTGGTCGACACAGTCAAAGGCTTTTGCATAGTCAATGAAGCAGAAGTAGATGTCTTTCTGGAACTCTCTAGCTTTCTCCATAATCCAGCGCATGTTTGCAATTTGGTCTCTGGTTCCTCTGCCTCTTCTAAATCCAGCTTGCACTTCTGGGAGTTCTCGGTCCACATACTGCTTGAGCCTTCCTTGTAGAATTTTAAGCATAACCTTGCTAGCATGTGAAATGAGTGCAGTTGTGCGGTAGTTGGAGCATTCTTTGGCACTGCCCTTCTTTGGGATTGGGATGTAGACTGATCTTCTCCAATCCTCTGGCCACTGCTGAGTTTTCCAAACTTGCTGGCATATTGAGTGTAGCACCTTAACAGCATCATCTTTTAAAAATTTAAATAGTTCAGCTGGAATACCATCACTTCCACTGGCCTTGTTATTTGCAGTGCTTTCTAAGGCCCATTTGATTTCACTCTCCAGGATGTCTGGCTCAAGGTCAGCAACCACACTACCTGGGGTGTACGAGACATCCATATCTTTCTGGTATAATTCCTCTGTGTATTCTTGCCACCTCTTCTTGATGTCTTCTGCTTCTGTTAGGTCCTTACCACTTTTGTCCTTTATTATGGTAATCTTTGTACAAAATGTTCCTTTCATATTTCCGATTTTCTTGAACAGATCTCTGGTTCTTCCCATTCTGTTGTTTTCCTCTATTTCTTTGCATTGCTCGTTTAAGAAGGCCTTCTTGTCTCTCCTTGCTATTCTTTGGAAATCTGCATTCAATTTCCTGTATCTTTCACTATCTCCCTCGCATTTTGCTTGCCTCCCCCCCCCCCCGCTATTTGTAAGGCCTCGTTGGACAGCCACTTTGCTTTCTTGCATTTCTTTTTCATTGGGTGACAGTGTGTTTTTGTTGTTGTTTATTTTGCCATTTCTGTGGGTTTTATACCTCCTTGAGTACATAAATGTAAAAAGGTGCTCTTCTAATTAAAAAGGAAAGGCAATGGAGCCCACAGTTAGATGCAGAAGCCAGCATCCCAGTGTTTCTTCTGATGACCATACAGCCACTTGCTTAGTAAGCTATCCCTGCCATAGAAGGGTCTATGAACAGGCCTAGCTGGAAGCTGGAAAATCTAGTACAGACTGTGCTGAACTTTCCCCCCATGTTCCTAATAACACTGAATTGCTCTTTCAGATTCAGAAGGAAACCTGCTTAAAAACTCCCACCTGCTGAAGGTAACACTGAGCATGCACCGGCTTATTATCTCCTCCACTGAGATGCTGCGAAAACTTATTGATCTATATCCTTTTAAACATTTGCAATTATTCCATTAATACCTAACAGAGAAGCTATGGTATCATTTGGGGAATGGGCATTCCTAACAGCAAATTCCTTAATGAACATGAAACAAATCAGGTCCTTAGAATTTTCTTGGTCTTAGTTCCTATATACTATATTCATCACACCCACCACCCACCCTTTGGAACCTGTTACTTAGATGTAACACAGTTTGGACTTTTAAAAATCCACATGAAAAATTGCATTAAAATGTTTATTTTTAAGAGTAATTTCTCTCAAAATACTGGAAGGACGGCACTGGAACACTTGGGAAGAGCAAAAGCTAGTAATTCCAATCAACACATTATTTTGGGAGGTGCATATGAGCTTGGTTTCATACTATAGTTTGCAAAGTTCCAGTATAAGACACCTTCCTATGGCTAAAAGAATATAATCACTGGGAACGTCTTGGCTGACAACCCTTGGGTATCACTGCTCACCTGTTAACTTCAAACCAACCAAATGAATATATAGCTAGTAATATCAAAATTTGCAAATATAGACCATTTATCTGAAGGATATGTAGAGGTACTAGCTGATTTTATCTACATATTGACCTGGTTTATGCATCACTTTAAGCCATAGTTACACAAAACTGTGCTTTAACTATGAATGTACAGCATACTGATGAAATCATGGGTGCTTTGCTCCTCCCCTGTCGCCACTGCATTGCCACAAATTAAGTTATTATCTGACTTAGCATTTCATCCACAGCCAGGCTCATGGTTTGTTTCTCTTGAAACAAACCATAAACTGTAAACAAAGGTTTGGTTTAAAGTGATATGTGGATGAGGCCATTAGTATCTTTTAGTCTTTTGCTAAAGTATTGGTTGCTCTGCTCTTTTTTTAAAAAACTGTTTACATTTTTATGTAACAAAATTTTATTACGACAATATTCTGTTATTATTTAAACAATTTAGCTGTAATATTAGTATTTTCAGATGGGTTCCTTTTGACATATTTTCCTTAGCAATTTATTACATATCTGGATGCTCTGGAAAATAATTCTTCTGTGCTTTGCTATAAAATATGTTACCTTGTAAGGTAAGAACACTTTTTTTTAAACAGATGGTCTATTAAATGAAACTTGTGATGAATATTTTCCTTTTTGGTATTGATCAAGTGTTTTTTTAAAGAAGGGAAGTATTTGTTAGGTCATACCTTATGGTTATTTTTAGGGCAATAAAAGCAGACATTTATTGTGCAGTTGTTTATCGGTTGTGAAAGATCAAGGCATGATTATTCATCTGCTCAGGCAAACTGCAGCCTTAGGGCCCCAGGTGAATCTTGGCTTATTTTGGTCCTAAATATGGTCTGGGAAGAGACAATAAATATTTATGTGCTGGTGGTGACATCTTTGGTGACAAGATGTCACCAAAGATGCAGCATTTATGAACTTAGAATTTGTAAAATGCTTTTACATCCTAATATCCATGAACAGATTTTCACTCTTGCAATATAGCTTTGCCAGTCTCCTACACTGAACTAAGATCCTGAGGGCCGAGGAACATTTGGGAATAACATTGTGGGGGTGGGGATTGCTGTGTTAGGAAGGGCGGGTGAAAATTAACAACCCCCATTCTAAGGGCCCAAGGAGATGTGATATTATTAGCAAACTAAGCAATTTTGGGGAGTGGGGGCTGTTCTAGGTCGGGAAAATCGTGAAGACAAAGGGTTAAAGCTCCCTCCCCAAAGCTCCCAAACTAGATTGTCGTCCCCCCTGTTATGTACTGAAGTTCTCACCCTGGGCCAGCAGGGGGATACTGTAGATAGTTTTCACTCAGGTCCACATATGCAAATAAGGGATTGAAAGTAACGTTCAGTGATTGGATAGTTACAGAAAGTGGTTACTGTTGCATTGTAGTGGAGCTCTATATAAGCAGGCTGGCTGAACCCTTCAGTTCAGTTCTGTTCTGGCCTGTGAATAAACAAGAGCTGTTTGAAGAATCACTGTGTCATCTGATATGTTCACCCACAACTTAACACGCCCCCCCTTAAAGTTTTAAGATTATGAGTTCTATGAAGACTATGCAATCCATTCTCCGGCACTGAACCAAACGTTGGATATTTATAATGAGGCGCAAGAAGTAATGGGAATGGCCGCCAAAATAAAAAAACATCAATGGGAAGCTTCAATCCTTAGATTGACAAAGTATATGTGAATGTGGGTCATGATAGTAGAAATTAAATGGCCTAGCTACAGTAAATCATTGTGCCTTAGAAAATCGAGTTGAGAAACCAACATAATGCCAGGCAGAAACAGTAGCCACAGCACTTTCAAATTCAACATTATATGTAGGTGGAAAATTGCCCAGGAAATCCTGCACAGTCATATATTTAATTTCAAAAAGGTATATTTCTCAAAAGTGACATAATTTCTTAGAATCAAATAGAAATCTTATCCAATGAATAAAAAGGAGGAGGGGATGATTGTCAGGAGTACAGCCTCCAGCAAACCAAATGTCAGCCAGAAGTCAAGAAGGAGACTGAAGATCAAATTTGCTTAAAGTTATAAATATGTTTTAAATATAGCAGAAAGCGGAAGATGGTTGGTTAGGTGATAAAGTGGATAAAGCTAATGGTTTATTTGGTTTGGGTCTACTAATAGCGTACAAAGTTATAAATACAACATAATTTTATTGTTGTTATCAACAGGTATTGGATAAGAGAATTCTGGGTCATGTTCAAAACAGATTCCAATCTTACAAACGCCATGGAGGAATTTCAAGAATTGGTGAGAGTTAATGGTGAGGAGTTGCACTGTCGCCTAATTGACACATCTCAAATGTGAGTGTCAAGGTCTTAATATATTGGGAGAAATACACACACATACACAAGAAAGCTATTGTTGCTAAACTTCCAGGAAAAATAATGTGTACTATCCAGTTATGAATAGGAATGTTTCCTTCTGTTTAACTCCTCAGGAACAGTTTCCATGTACAGTATGTGGCATGGTTGCTGCTTGAATCACGAATATATAGAATCATAGAATTGTAGAATAGGAGAGAGGCCTGAGGGTCATCTAGTCCAAGCCCCTGCAATGCAGGGATCTCAGCTAAAGCACCCATGGCAGATGCTATACAAACTCTGCTTAAAAACATCCAAGGAAGGAGAATCTCTAATGTTCTCTCTGGCGTTTTTGTGAGCCCTTTTAGTATGAACAGGAAGGACTTGGCATCTAGTCTTCTTCATTTTTTAAATAAAATTTATTGTTTTACATTTTTGTAAGTTGCAATTTTTATTTGGGTTTTGTATTTGTGTGTGCACCTTGGCCAAAAGGCAGCTTAGGAATAAACTTCAACAGTAATAATGACCGGGTATAAATTGCCATAGACAGGGACTCATTTCACACAAATGGTGTCCCTGTGCAGTTGTGATTCAAACATGACCACACTGTGGATTGCACATACAAGTTGGACCTTTAGAAAAATGTTTAGGTCCAGATTCAACTAAACAGTTGTGCTGTTTAGCTAGCACAAAGGGGGCTTTTTCCTGCATGCCCCACATTTCTTGGGGGAGGTGGATTCTGCTAAAAAATGGCCTCCCCCCCAAAGCAGTATCTTTTCTTTGCAGAAGAATTCGCCTTATAGAAAGATAACTTCAAGCAATAGACACATATCTGTCTGGCTCCTGTCCTTGTTGTGTCTTTGCTTGATTTACTGCTGGGTATTTTATCTGGTTTACTATAAATGCTGGAGAGAAATGCTCTTATCTGAAGTTCACTTCCTGCAGTTCTCTCCTTGAAAGAAAGACATCTTGCATGTGATATTACTTTCTGCTAATTCGGTTAAGAAGTGACACCTGATTAAGGATATTGAAATTAGTTAATCTCTTGGCTGTGAAAATTATAGATTTGTTGCACATAGAATTGTTCTATGTGCAATGTTGTACATTGTGTGTATAGAATTCATGTTTTCACTGAGGACACAAATTGCAGTTTGTTCTTTTAGTTATAATTGGAGCAGAATGCAACTGTGGGCAGCCAGTTCTAAAAAAACCATGTATCACTGGTCCTGAAAGCACTGCTAGGCCCAATTCATGGTGTTAGTACTAGCATATAAAGCCCTAAATGGCTTAGGACCCAAGTACCTAAAAGAACCTCATCCACCTCAGACCTTATGATTGACGGGTGAGGGCTTGTTGGTGCTGCCTCCACCAGGGACTGTCTGGTTGGCATTGACCCATCGCGGCCTTTTCAGTGGTTTCACCCTGTTTATTGAGTGCCCTCGTTCATGAGGTGGCTCTGTCTCCTTCATTATTAGCTTTCAGGAGGAATTTAAGAACATTTCTATTTACTCAATTTGATGGTTGAAGTACGCTGTTCCTGGAAACCCTGAAATCGCTGGTTGAGAGAAAGTTTAAAACTATTTTTATAATAGTTTTTAGACATCTGAGGGCAGCCTCGTGTAGGGAAGTTTCTAATGTTTGATGTTTTGTTATGTTTTTATATTTGTTGGAAGCCAGCCAGAGTGGCTGGGGCAACCCAGTCAGATGGATGAGGCATAAATAATAAAATTATTATCATGATTATTATGTTTTTTAAACTATATTGTCAGTATGATTATTATTGTGTTTTTTTGCCATGTTCTCCTTTGAGAGGGATATAAATTGAATGAATGAATGAATGTGTGATTTTGTTTGGAAAGGAATATGCTAGTAAATTCTGCTGCAGAAGATAAATTACCCCTTTTGGTTTTCCTTTCTCTTTCTTTTTAAAGAAATGCCCGAGAGTGGTCCAGAAAGATCACACAGCGGATAAAATCTAACAGCAGTAAGAAACGGAAAGTATCGCTACTCTTTGATCACTTGGAACCAGAGGAGTTGTCAGACCACCTCACTTACCTTGAATTCAAATCCTTCCGACGGATATCAGTGAGCAGATGGATTTTCATAAGTTGATAACTCAAATGGTTTTTTTAACAGGGTGTACGTGTAGTTCAGGGGTAGGAAACCTTCAGCCTGCTGGTCAAATACAAATCCCCCCAGGACTCTCCCCAGGTCCTGTCAGTCACTGGTCGTGCTCTTTGCCCTCCTTGAGTACTGAAATGCAGCCTTGAATGGTGATAATGGATTGTCTAGTAGGCTTTGGGGACATTTCCTTCCCAGTGGATAGAAAGGTACAAAAGGCAAATATCTTAAATACTGTTAATGGGTCATAATGGATTGCATCCAATGGTGGCGTTTCACTAGCAGATGTTGTTTATGCTCATACAAGGCAAGTTACCCAGTTTTTGCCAAGCTGCTTAGCTACTATAATCCTTTGCACCATATTTCATCCTGTTATGTAAGGTCCCCCCAATCTTCAGATTCAGTTGTTCATCAGGTGTAGGAGCAGCTTGCAGTGAATCTCGACTTGCGGAAGTGCTTTTCACTAGTGTACAGCCACCACTGGATGCAACCCATTAAACCTGGCAGTCCTATTCTGTTGGGCTAAAATTGTGCATGATTTGTTTTGCATCAGGAACAGGTTGTTTATAAATATCAGTTCTTTATTCTCTTCACCTTTTTGCTTGAAAATGCATAACCATATTGCTCCAAAGCTGTGGAATGTGTCCCCCCTCAAAAAAACCCCTAACATACTCCTCCTGTCTCCTGAATAATATTGCTCAGATTCTCAGATGTAAGTTTAGCAGTTAGGGGAATAAACTGTAAAAGCTCTCACTTAGTCATGTGTCAGTACTTTTTATTTTAAGCTCTAGGTTCATGACTCCTCTCATGTGCTAAGTTAAAATCCAACAGCCTTGAAAGCTGGAGTCACGTCTCTGTGTACCCCTGACACACAGACACACACACACTTATATAATGCTTAACATTTTGCGATTAAACTGTTAATGATTATTGGTTACAAGAAGCATAAGGATAATGTATTTCCTGGTTGTAGAATACAAGTTTTCCCTTTAGTAGTCTGAGAACAAATTGATAAGCTTCTACAGAAAGGAATTACTTTCACTTGTTTTCCAGAACAATATCTTGGTGTGGTTTTAATTAATTAATCAATTAAACTAATTAAATAATAATAGGAACAACTCTCATCCTCTGTGTACATATTTGACTGTAATCCAAACCCAGTGATGGTTATATGCGAGCAGATTAATATAGGATCGGTGAAAAATTAAGTAGGATGGTCTTTATTTCAGGTTAGTGAATCCATAACACCTTTTTGTCAGGTTCTGTCTGTCAATGGTTCTGACTCCATCCACAGCCCCTGACAGATTTACCTGTGAGGGAATGTGACTGAAAAAAGGTTGCCCACCTCTGGCATACAGTTTGCTCCATGTACTGCTTAGAAATAATGTATGGAACAGCTTGTCATGTGGATAACTTTGCTCACATGGAGATTTTCTTAGCAGCTATTGAAAATGTCCAGTTTGGGGATGGAGATGCTCAAAATGAAGCAGGACACCTACACATTAGGTATCACATAGCCTTTAAAGACTTTAGAGTAGGGGTGTCCAAACTTTTTTCAAAGAGGGCCAAAGCTTTTTTTAGGACTGAAGTTGTTGTTGTTGAGCTTTTTTAAAGATTTACCCCAGGAAATAAACTGCCACAGGGGCCAGATTAAACTGACTGGTGGGCCGCATTAGGCCCCCACAACGGACTTTGGACATGCCTGCTTTAGAGGTCTGTCTCACTGCAAAAACAGGGGGTATAAGGAATACAGTAATAGATGTTAAATAATGTGAATTTTGCTCCACCAACCTTCTTTTCGTTTAAGCTTCCAGATTATCAGAACTACATCATGAATGGCTGTGTGAAGGACAATCCAACCATGGAACGCTCAATTGCTCTTTGTAACGGTATCTCCCAGTGGGTGCAGCTAATGGTACTCAATAGGCCGACACCACAGCTTCGAGCTGAAGTATTCATCAAATTCATTCATGTGGCCCAGGTCAGCTATAATTTGTTTTGAGTTTTTTGAAGTCATTTTTTTTCCTGCACCTATTTAGAATAATTTGGGAAGGGCGAAATATATAAATGTGGGCCAGATTGTGGATACTGACATTGAATTAAATTGTGTTAAATGGTGGGGGACAATCGAATCTCATTGAGGTCAGGTCTCTCTCTGTTCTATCATGTCAGTTGAGAAGTATCAAAATCAAAAACTGAATACTGACAGTTCCTATTTTTTTTACACAGAAACTTCATCAGTTGCAGAATTTTAATACATTAATGGCTGTGATAGGTGGCCTTTGCCATAGTTCCATCTCTAGACTTAAAGAAACAAGTTCTCATGTTCCTCATGATATTCATAAGGTTTGTTGAACTCTTCCCTCTGTTCCGTGTCTTTATTTTGCAATATTTGTATACTGCTTTTCAGCCACAAGAATTGTAAAAGTGATTCACAATAATGAAATCAGATTTGCTAACAGACTATATTCCTCTCACAATTATGGGTCCCTCTCACAATAAATATACTCATTTAATATTTATGCCACCAAAATGGAAATATTGCTCAATTAATAGAGTTTGTTGAGCTTTTGCCACTGTAGCTAAAGCCTGATTTATAAAAAGAGAAGTTGTCTATCATGTGCTATAAGACTCCACAACACTCATGTTGGTGGCCTCATTCAGATGTAACACTAAACCATAGCTGAGCATCATGAGAAACAATTTCAACAAGCCTCAGACTTGTGAGCTCCCCTCCCTTCTCCTCCAGTGGGATTGCAAGGAGGAGTTTGGAATCCTTCACTTCTGTTTTTAGATTAAGCATAGTTTACTGTGTTTCTGAACATGGACAGTGGCGAGTTGAAACAAGCAAGTTTCAGTTCAACTCACGGTATTTAAGATTAACCACAGTTTAGGATTAGGATGCTATGCTAAACTGCAATTAATCTAAAACAGACGTATAAGATTCTAATGTCATCCACTGTTATCCACACTAGATAAGGGAAGGGGAGGAGGGAGAATCATGAGTCCTAAGCCATGGCTTGAATTTCAGCCAGTAGATTTACATTGAATTTAACAACAAGTATGCGAAATTCATCTGCTGGTGATGTGGTTCTAAAGTGGCCCTAATGGTGAGCGTAGTGAATTAGTGCTTTTCTTTGTTTTTCTTTAGGTGTTTAATGAAATGACAGAACTGCTATCATCTTGTAGGAACTATGATAATTATCGACGTGCTTACAGCGAGTGCAGCAACTTTAAGATCCCTATCCTTGGAGTACATCTAAAAGACTTGATCTCCCTTTATGAGGCCATGCCAGATTACTTGGAAGACAAAAAAGTTAATATACATAAATTGTATTCTTTGTATAATCATGTCAATGAACTGATACAGCTGCAAGAGATAGGCCCTCCCCTGGAAGCTAACAAGGATCTTGTTCATCTCCTCACAGTAAGTCTCCGTCTTTACAGATCGTATTTTAAATGTCTTTTACTTTCCCCCATCCTGTGGAATTATTTAAATGTCAGAAAGCTTGGACTGTTAAACCAGGCCGAGCAATTTTAAGGTAGGCAGGGTATTTTTTCCCTGTAGGTCTTTGCTCATGTTGTTGTTGCTGGCATCTGTCTGTCTCAGGATACAATGGTGGAATGCGCTTTTGGGGGTGAAGTCATACTCTTGGAAGGTTGCAGCGCCTGCGGTGGCTGTAGAGACAGATACGGGAGAGATGTTTTGCTGCATCTGGGTGCAACAAAATGCGTCCAGGTGTGCTGCTGCAGATGCACCATGGTATTTCTTCTCCCTGTGCCATTCTCCCAGTGGTCATTTCTCCTCTGGATACATGACCTGACTGTCTGTCTCCAGCCACTGCGGTCATCTGCAAGGGACTGCTTACATGGCAAGGTTAATGTTGCTAGCCTTCGTGTCACAGATGCAGACATCTTTGTAATGCCCAGTTGGTCTGGTGCCTGAAGATGGCTCCTTGGAGATTCTGCCACCTTCCCTTCTGTGGACATGACAAAGCTAGCGTAGACATCACTGAGACAGGAGTGTGAACGTGCTGAGAATGTTGGCTTGGGAGAGCACATCTTTGAGACCCTGTCCTGTCGTATGATACCCAAATGTTTCCTGACACAGTGCATTGTAGGTCTTTGCTCAGCAGTACAATGACATATCAATAGGCAGATAGGCCTTGTGATTTTTGGAAAACCACTAAGTGTGTACCTACTTGCTTTCCTGAGGGCTGGTCAGTCCACTTCCATGAGATCATTCACTAACATAATGCTGCTAATTTATGGTGCTTCATTATGGCCTTTTCAGATACTGTACTGTCGTGGTTCAGTTGTGATGTGAAACTACATCACTTATCTAGGGTGTCCTACAGCTATAAGAAGTTCTAGAATAGATGCACAGTTGCCTTCTTAGATTGCCAGATTCCATGTAACTTTCCATGACAGTGGCCTACTTCTGAGAGTGGAGGGTGAATGGTAGGTGTCTCATGGGTACATACCACACACTGCAGCTCACCTGTGTGGGAGTGAATATATCAGCATGGTCTCATGGAGCTCTAAACTCATGGAAACCTTTTTTGGGAGTATCTACTCTGCAACACTAAGATTAGAATTGGCTCTAAGAACTGAAGCTGTAAGATGCTTCACCCCACATGCCACTGCTATCACAAGTTGTTCTCTCATGGACTTTGGTCCACAAAACATTTGCTTCCCATTACATTTTAGCAAAATAACTTGACACATCCAAAAAGGACAGATCTGTGATCTTTCACAATATAAGTGTAAAGGCACCTTAAGTGAAAGCTGCCAACTTGAAGTATAAAAATTACTTCTGTATTGTTGGAAATGGGATTTTAAATTCCATTGTTGATCCTCTTTCTTTTAAAAGGTACTTCTAAATACTTTCTGTTAAAAAAAATCAAAATCAAAACAATAGTTTTTTTAAAACAACAACAACAACCACAACACAACACAACACCATAAGCTTATACCATTTCAGTATGCATTATAAAATGCTTCAGTTACACTTCTTTTAAAAAGACAAGCTCTTGCCAGAGAAGCTGCAGCAACTTAGAGTGTAAACTGTTTCTGTGTTTGTTTTCAGCTGTCCCTTGATCTTTACTACACGGAAGATGAAATCTATGAACTTTCATATGCACGAGAGCCAAAAAGTCACCGGGCTGCAGTAAGAATCTTAGCAATTCAGTTATAGTTTCCATGCATTAAACCTGCATGTTGGTACTTAACAGTGCTATTTTTACTAGATTAGTTTGGGTTTATATCCTGCTTTTCTGCGAAGAAATTGTGCTTTGAATTACTTGGAGCGACTTAAGATGCAGCAATAGATTTTCAGCTCTGTAATATTTCAATGAATAATGCCATAGCAAACCACTCAGTAACCTATTCCATTTATACATTTCAGTAAGCACAAGATCCTTAATTCAAACGAGCAAAATAACAATATTTGTTGCCCAGATGCATCAAAATCATTTTGGAGCACATTATATCAGAAAATTTTAAAGAAGTTCAGCACTAGCAAGAAAAAAATGGAATATTTACTGCTTTGAAAATCTAACCTAGCAACCAGTATACTAGAACAGAGATGAATACCAAAAGGCCACAATTTAGCTGGATGGTAGAACCCTCAAACCAGTATTTCACCACAAGCCAGGCAGGAGGTCAAAAGGGAGCCAAACCAAGCCCTCTCAAAGCCAGGGATAGTGACAAGAGCATATATTGTGACTATCATTCCCCAGGACACCTCAAGCCTAATCTGGCCTCCCACTACAGGCTTGACAAAAGGCCAGAAAACCATCTGGGGAGAGGAGGGAGGAGAAGAAGAGAGGGCCTGGCTACTGTCCAATTCCCTTTTGAGTTTCTCTCTTTGGAGTCAGTCCAGTAGCTGCTGAAGCAACCCAGTATCTCAGTTCTTCATGGGTGGGACTTCCAAACTCAGGGCACTGATGGGCTTTTGGCTCAGCTCTGCTCTGCTGTCACCCCGTGAGTGATTAACGGACTGGAGGAGGCTCCAGATGACAGCCACCTTCCTTCAAACCTGCCGCCTGCAGGTGCACTGCAGGTTCCAACACTGCTGTATTGCAATGCACACCAGGATATAGCTAAGCAATGGAACTTGAGACTCTTAACCTCAGGGCTGTGGGTTCAAGCCCCTCATGGGGCAAAAGATTCCTGCATCACAAGGGGGTTGGACTAGATGACCCTCGTCGTCCCTTCCAACTCTACAATTCTGTTGTATGTGACAGCATCTGAATGTGAATATTTCAAATGTAGGGAAAGTGCAACTTGCCAACTATAATTTGGTATCTTCCATCCTTGTGAGAATGATATAATCAGAGTGAGGTTAATAGCATATAGACTGTGGAATTCTCTCCCCTCAGAGGTGCACATGGCCTCTGTGCTACGGAGGTTTTCAGAACCCACCTTTCTGAACCAATTTGTCTTAAAAAAATATTTTTCTAGAGAGTTACGTAACCAAGTATAGCTCACATTACTCTCTGTTATTTGTTTTAATTGACCTCTTAAGAACTGTTACTGCCTTTGCAGGTTTCGATTATTTTTATATCAGTCATTGTGCTTTTATGATTGTGAACTGCCTTGGGTGAGCTCTGCTCCGAAAGGTGGGATTATAAATAAATACAACTAGGATGCACCAAGTTAGTTGTGTCTCACTGGTTTACTTACATTTTCAATATACATGCAATGCTTAATTTTTTATTTTTTTTTGTAAGGATATTTTAAAACATTTAGGAATAACTGCTCTTAACAGATGGATTTATTTTTCTTTCAATAACATGGAAATGAAGTTTGAATGTAGATGTATATAATTCTTATTTTAGCCTTTGACGCCTTCTAAACCGCCAGTAGTAGCAGACTGGGCCTCTGGTGTAGCCCCAAAACCTGACCCAAAGATCATTAGCAAACACGTTCAGAGAATGGTAGATGTAAGTATGCGAATTGTTTATCATGCTTGTTTTATATTAACATCTTGCAAGCCTGATTTGGCTCATTGTACATTCACCATGGGAGTACCGTATTTTTTGCTCTATAACACACACCCGACCATAACACGCACATAGTTTTTAGAGGAGGAAAACAAGAAAAAAAATATTCTAAACGAAACAGTGGATGTATGATTTTTGTGGTTCATGCTGTGGTCACAGACATGTGATCTGACGGTGAGTTTGGGGTAGCCCAATGCAAAAATCCTGAGGATCCATGTGGATCCATGCTTTGTAACCACATTTTTGCACCACTGCGGCCCCAGGCAACAGTGGGTGCGTGATTTTTTTGGTGCAAGCTGTAGCCATGGACATGCTATGTGATCTGATGGTGAATTTGGGGTGACCCAGTGCAAAAATCCTGAGGATCCATGTGGATCCATGCTTTGTTACCACGTTCTAAGTGGGGAAGGAAGGAAAAGCACTCAAGGGACAAGGAGCACCCGTGGGTGTGTGGAGAAGGATGCTGTTAATAATGCAGAAGAGGTGTATAAGAGGAGAAGGCTCCTCTCCTCTTCTGCTTTGCTCCTTTAAAGCAAGCAGGCTCAGCTTCTCTCCCTCCTCCCCGGCTCGCTGAAAAACTTTGCTGCTATTCAGTGAGCTGAGTGGGGAGGAGAGAGGGACAGAGAGCCTTCTTGCTTTAAAGGAGCCAACCGAGGAGAGAGGGACAGAGAGCCTTCTTGCTTTAAAGGAGCCAACCTCTCCTCTCCTGCTTTGCTCCTTTAAAGCAAGCAGGCTTTCTGTCCCTCTCTCCTCCCCACTCAGCGGCTCTTCTCCCGCTTTGCTGTTTCAAAGCAAGCCACGGAGGAGGGAAGGAAGGGGAACCATGGATCCTCTGCTCACGACTGCAGCAGATCCCCCCGCCATCTGTAGGCATTCGCTCCATAACACGCACAGACATTTCCCCTTACTTTCTAGGAGGAAAAAAGTGAGTGTTATGGAGCAAAAAATACGGTAAATATCCCTGTTGCAAGTTTCCCACTCATTTCAGATTTCCCATTCTCCTTGAAGCATTAAGTGGGACCATCATGCAGTAGGTTTCTATGCTCTCAGCTTCTAAAAGCATGGAGCAAAAAGAGTGAAACATGCTTTCTGATGGTGTCCTCAGTTCATACTGTGAGTGCTGTAGATGTAAACAGCTGGAGGTGGGAAACACAACATGGGGCTGCTGATCTCAGTGGTGACCATAATGTGTAGCCCAGGTATAAGAATCTCAGTACTGTCACTTATGCTTTAGAGAGATAACCTAGATTTCTCTCTAGATATAGGACCCCCCACTGCAGCATATAACTTGCAATTTACTGTGCCCAAGGAGGGGAGAAAACTGTGGGAAATGTAAGAGAATTTACGAGATGTTCAAAGAGTGAAGGAGGAGAATGAGAGAAAAGCAGATAGGTAGCCATACCGTGTGCTTTGTCAAGTTGTGTAAGCTAAATGAAGTATTAGAGTAAGGTGTGTACTTGACAAAGCTGCCATATGTATGCAGCATATGTACTTATGTGCAGAGAACATAGTCAGAGCAGCTTGCAGAAGTATCTTACTCCAATATACCTAAAGGCTAGTCAAGAATCTGCCTCATAAAACACTGCACAGGTTTTCCTATGAGAGGAACTGAGACTGCATGTACATAGATATGCCCACAAGCTGTTGCCATTGTTGCATTATACAATGCCTGTACTAAAGTGCATTTAATTTTGAAATTAAATTACCATAGAACATTGTAGTATTTGTTTGTATAATATTAACTTGTAGCAAGTGCTTTAAAAAACCAAACTGAAGTGATTTTTAGTTGGTTCCATTTAATTTCCCCCCTTTTGTTCTGTTCAGTCTGTTTTCAAAAATTACGACCATGATCTGGATGGGTACATTTCTCAGGAAGAATTTGAGAAGATTGCAGCAAGCTTTCCTTTCTCATTTTGTGTAATGGACAAGGACAGGTGTGTACATCCAAACAACATTTATGCTTTTGCTCTTCCATTTTTTAATTGCCATAATAGGTTAACTTGCACCCACGTGCTTCCCACTCAGATGAATGGACTGAAGAATTGTGGGTAGCTGGGCTGCATTCTGGAATTGGGTGGGGAGGCGTGTCTCAAGACCACTAGCTTGAGCTTCCCTCCAATTGGTAGATCGCCCATTTGTGCGATTATTTTCAGAACAACAGTTAGAAGTCAGGAACCTGCTTACCTTCAAAGAGTTAATGTTGGAACAACGTTCTTCTTTTATGTTTAGGGGAGGAGTCCCCTGTTGTGCAATTTCCATATTCCTCAAGGACTGTTCATTGTCCCAAATGGCATTAGAAATTGTAAAGAGCAATTTGAAGGTTCAGTGTTAGGAAGTATTCCCTGGGCTTCTCCTTTGTTTCGATAATTGTGCAGCGTGTTCAGAATCAATTGTGAAGCCTGCTCCTTAAGCTGTTTTTGTTGAATGTTAAATGAGTTGCTGCAGAACTCATGACCTGCTTGACAGGATCATGTGGGGTGTATGTGTGTGCGTGCGTGTAATATATTTCTAGATGTTCATTGCTGTGAAAATGAATTAATGCATTTACCTTAGTCTCTAATTTACCAGAGGGTTGGCAGTGTGTGTAGGTGGAGTGAAACAGAGCGGGAGATACTGTTAACTCCTTGTGATTTTAGCAGTATTAAACCTCAAATGACCCTCTTCCTTCTGTGCATGTGTATGTTTTTACAGGGAAGGTCTGATTAGCAGGGATGAAATCACAGCTTACTTCATGAGGGCCAGCTCAATCTATTCTAAACTAGGCCTTGGCTTCGCCCACAACTTCCAAGAGACCACTTACCTGAAGCCTACGTTCTGTGACAACTGCGCTGGATTTGTAAGCTTGGGTTTAGGGGGTATTTTAAAAAGTAAATAATGCTACATGTTGCGTGCAGCAAACTGTTATCCACAAATATTTTATTACAGCATCAGCTCTAGTTTGCTGTTAGCATGGCTAAATTAACTTTGCCCTTTTAGCTTTTAATAGTATAATTGCTATTAGCTGCCAGAATGAGGAGGAACCATAGCTTTTCTTTTATTTTTATTTTTTATTTTAAGATTTTCTACCCTCCCAACACTGTATGATCCCATGGCGGGTTACAACAATAGAATCTACAATTATAAAAACAAATAAAACCATCACAATTATAAAACACATTAAGCAGTTCCAAATGGAACAGAATACTATAAATTCAGCAAAAGTGGTGGGTAAAACATGCTGGTAATTTTCTTAGACAATTAAGAATCCAAGGGAGTCTAGATTGTGATTGTGGTTTAGATTTTGATAGTTTTGGAGCTCCGTGGATGATAGCAACACTTATCTCTTGTATAGGATTTTCTAGTGCTTTTTAATATTTTTTTAAGAAAAGAAGGCACAGGTACCATGAAGTTGTCACAGTAAGTGCTACACTTTTAACATTTTTTTTAAAGTTGCGGGTACTGCTTACCTTTGAGTACCCCCAGAAAAAAAGCACTTGGTTTTTCTATTTGGAGATTTAGTCTGTTCTTAATGGGGCAGAGCACTGATTTTTGAAAAGGAGAAGCAGAAAGCCTCAGAACACATATGCGGGTGGGTCATTTTGATTGGATGACTTTGCAGAATTGGAGTAGTGAATTGAGGTTGAGGAAAGGTATGAGTCTACTGTCTTAAGTTCACTGTAGTGTGATAATATGTCTTTGCTTGAATTTTCAGCTCTGGGGAGTTATTAAACAAGGATATAGATGCAAAGGTAACACATTCTGCTTTTGTTAATGATTTTAAAGGGCTTATAAATGACAGCAGTTCTGTGGTTCTACACTAAGAGTGCCTTACCATATCCATGACCCCATTTTGTGTTGTGAAACTTTTTCCTTTGAGAAATAGACCTAAGAATAAGCTGAGAGACAAAGTCTCAATCTGTAGGAAGTTCAGAGGGTCTAGCACAAACCACCTAGAAACACTCAAAGTCACCCCCAGTGTCTCCCCAGCCCCTGGCTACTTCCAGCTCTCAGATCCTGCATCCTTCTAGAAAACAACTTAGATAATTTAAGGAATCATTCCCTCCTACACTCACACATTTTGGACATTAAATGGTAGGCGATTGTATTGCTTGGATACTAAGCAGCAGCAGAATGTAACACAGCCATGTGATCTGAATTAAATATTGCATTAATAAATATGAAAGTGGCACAAGAAGTAACTCATAGTAAAGGAAAGTACTCCATCCTTGCTTATTACAACTATGGCTGCAATCCTAATCACACTTAGTAGGGAGTAAGCAACACTGGACACAGTAGAGTCAATCATGCATCGACTTGTGCTGTAAGTTGGGGTTTTTTTTTAGCATTTTGTGAGGTTTCTACAGAGGAAAGAACTTTGGCTTCATGGGGTGGGAAATGAAATATTAGTGTGAGAAAAGACACCCCTCCCCCTGCTTAGTTTTTGTTTCAAGCCAATGACCTTTCCTTGTTTGTATTTGTTTGCAGATTGTGGAATGAACTGCCACAAGCAATGCAAAGATCTGGTTGTATTTGAATGCAAGAGAAGAGCCAAAGTCCCAGCAGTAGACAACAGCCCTGCTTCAGCCCTTGCATCTAGTCTTTGTCCCATGGGGCTCAAAGAGCACATGCATGGTGAGAAAGTTTCTTATGAAGAATTCATGAGTGAAGAAATTGGGTTAGCCCAACTTCATTCCACTCCTACACCATTTCCACCTATAGCAGCCTTTCTTAAACCTGGGGTCCCTGGGTGTTGTTGGACTTCAGATCTCATCATATCAGACTACTGGTCCTGCTAGCTAGGGATTATGGGAGTTAGAATCCTAGTTGTAAACAACGTTGCGTGCTTTTCTTTAAAAAGTGGAATAGCAAGATATACATGTTTTCAATAAATTTTCAGTAATCCTCACAAAAGCCCTATATTATTATCTCCACATTATGGATCATGTAGATGTTTTGTTTCTTCACTTCACCAATGCAGCCAGGAGTGATATTAATTAAGTAAGTGGGCAACAATGGATAGAAAGAGAAGTCTGGGAAGAATGATATGTACCGTATTTTTCGCTCTATAGGACGCACTTTTCCCCCTCCAAAAATTAAGGGGAAATGTGTGTGCGTCCTGTGGAGCGAATGCAGGCTCCTTGGCTTCAGCAAAAGCAATGCGAAGCCTCCAAAGTGCAGAGGGAGCGCTCCGTCCACGCTCCGGAGGCTTCGTGTTGCTTTCGCTGAAGCCTTCAGAGTACAGTGCAAGTTCCCGCTGCGCTCCGCGGGCTTCAGGTTCCTTTCGCTGAAGCCAGGAGAGTCTTGCTCTTCCTTTTGCTGAACCGGGAGAGCAAGACTCTCCTGGGTTCAGCAGAGAGGGAGAGCTGTGCAGCGCCCCTTTAGCCAAGCGGGAGGAGAAATGGAACGGGCTCTGTTTCTCCTGCCGCTTCGCTGGAGGGGCACTGAGCAGAGAGGGGGAACATTTTTTTTTCTTGTTCACCCCCTCTAAAACAAGGTGTGTCCTATGGTCCAGTGTGTCCTATAGAGCAAAAAATACGGTAGTTATATCAGCAAAGCATTTCACCTACTTTGATAATTAAGTTTAAAGGATAGCATGCAACTCATTTTAACCACTGCCCTGCTTTCATCTCCCATATTTATATATTTGTGTGTTTTCCCATCCCCTCGTTTTCCCATCCCCTACAGGTCTGGAGGAGGGAGGATTTCCATTTCCTAACGGAGAAGTTGTGGAGCACAGTGAAGGGAGCAAAGACAGAACTATTATGCTTATGGGGGTGTCGGCTCAAAAGATCTCAGTGAGGCTAAAGCCATCTGTGTTACACAAGAGTACGCAAACTGACTTAGTGGTGGCACATAGTGATGGGCTACCCAAGCAACAGAGAGAGCCAGGAACGCTACCTGAAAACACTCTTCTGCAGCCTACTCCGCTGTCGCCGTGTCCAAGCCCGGTTCTTAGTCGTAAAAAGGCGTATGTGAAATGGGAAAACAAGGACTGCAGTCAAAAAGCAAAGCAGGAGCCCTGTGCTCTAAAACCCACATACCAGGAATTAGAGCAGGTACCGCAAACAGTTTCTAAGATTCACATGTAATAAATAACACAGTGTGCAGTATTACCACTATGACAAATGGGAACCAGTTTGAGAAAGTCAGAATAGACTGGGAAGACCCAGGTTCAATTTTGTTCAGTTGGTAGGTAACATCCCTGATATATCTACTGCTAAATGTCAAATAGTTATAAGGGATGTGATACGTTTAAGGGAAGTAGCTGTCGGCTGCCTAATGAGTGTCATTGGGGTGGAAGCCTGATAACAAAGCAATCCCACCTTGTAATCTCATTGACTGGGCTGGGGAGAGAATGGCAGAGCTACCATCAAATCCATTCCTCTGCCATTTTCTTGTAGTCAGGTTGGGATGGAGCGACATTTTCCTTCTCCCTTCGCATTGCCTACAATGGATAAGGCAAAAAAATCTATATATTAGACAGATGTGTTCTCTTAGAGTCTTGATTAAATGTTGTCTTTTGCACGCGAGAGCATGTCTCGTTTTCTTGAGAGATGCAGTAGCCGTAATTGCTCCTCTCTTATGCAGACAGCTGTTTATTTTTCACTCCATTTACTGTTCAAGCCGTTATGATTTGAATAATAGTTAAGTGAACCTGGAGAATAAGATGCTAGTCAAGCAAGTGTTTCTGCTAAGGAGGACTGTAGATACCGAAACTGTTCTTTAAAGTATATTCTGCTCGGATGACACCAACCTGTGTTTTTTGCTTAGGAGAGAAACATCCTTACAACAGAGAATGAAGCTTTAAAGCTACGGCTTAAACAGGCACATAAGAAAATTGAATTCCTCAGCATTCGAAGAAACCACATACTGGACAGCAGGGAACATGGAGACTGCTTGTAGCCAGGTGGACAGTAAAGGCAATGGGACCTTTGAGGGCGATGCATTCAAACGTATGCAGAGCGGCAGGTTTTTAAACAGAGGTATTTCTGTTCAGTCTTCCCTGTCCTGCCTGATATTAGTACTTGTGGGCGTATGCATGCCTTGTCAACAGGTTTCAAACAGTTTGCCCTTTGTTTGGCGGAAATGACGGCATTTGGAATTATGGCAAGAATTACTCTTGCTGCCTTCATAACAAGGGGTGGAATTCAGTGTAGCTCTCAGTATGCATGGCGAACAAGGTTAACACAAACAACGGTCCTGAAATCTGCTCATGGACCACTGGCACACCCTCCCCCAAAACAAATCTGCTCCAGAATATCTCACAAGCATTTGGAGCACATTTTGAGGGCATGAGGTGGCGGGGATGGAGTGGGGGGGCTGACTGCAGGCAGCAGGAAAGGAAGAGGGGGAACTTTATTATGTGCGCAGGCGCCTGTTATGCGAATGATACTGCAGTGCTGGATACACCCCCTACCTCTACAGCCAACCTTACTGCCCTTGGAGGGTTGGCATAATTAAGATTAATAATTCAAAACGGTAGCCCTGCACAATCAATATGTATTCGTTAGACCTGTGGACAAATAGCATTAGAGATGCTAAAAGCTGCTTAGTGTTGTCTTGCGAAAATCACTTTAGATTTCCATCTTATCATGATTCCAGAACTGACACATAAATGATGCACTGTAAAATATGATATCAGACACTTGTGACCCTTTCTGTAGCTTGTGTTAATATTTATTCACAACTTCTGGTTAAATCTCTGGCTTCAAATTGAGTCTATAATTTATTTTTTACAAGAATGACATTATGATGTGCCCAGCAATGGTGGTGTTTGTACTTTGTGTTCCACTGTGTATGCTTACTCCTTTTGGAGTAATTTCATGGTTAAATAACTTTTTTTGTACTTTTACTTGCAAAGCCTAGAGTAAGAGGCTTGTAAGATTATTTATGTGAGCAGCTTCTGTAATGTAAATTTGTGAGTTGAAGGAACTAGCACCTGTTCTTATTGTTAGCTGAGCTGATAAAGTAACTACACTTTACAAACTGTAAATATATATGTAATATTTAAAATTGACCAAGCATGATTTTCTAAAACCTATGTGAACTGTGTTGATTCTTAGAAGCTATACACTAAACAAGAACAATCTAGGGAACATAGAAATGAAAAGCTAAACTGACACATCTGGCAAGTTTGCTTTTTCCTTTGCAAACATTTGCCCTCCTTCAGCAGTCTTCTCACAGGCAACAGTTTTCTTTCTGGGCAAACCTACAAAGTATCCAGTCAAAACTAGTATTAGACTAGTTGGTCTACTCGTAACACACACATTTCCCTTCCTCCTTGTCATCTGAGCACTGATGGCAGTGGTTTCCACAGTTGCAATGAAGTGTTCTCTGGGGTAGACCTTGTTTTCTGGCACAAAACATGGAGAAGACACCCCCTAAACCCTATGGGACAGTAGGATTTCACCTTAAACTAACTTTCTGTAAGAATCTTTGAATGTTTATGGAGTGGTTAACTGAGCCATAGGACTTGGATTCCATTTTTGTCTCACACATTATTTTAACATCTGCATGGCAATGGTGTGAGGTTTTGCATGACAGTCTCATTAGTAGGCAGGTGGTACCTGATTATAGCTTACCTTCTCAAATCCCAGTGAGGCAGTCAAAATTCTTAATGGGTGCTTAGAGTGAGTTATGAGATTGAGGAAGGTTGATAATCAGTTTGTTTAAGACAAGCATGTTAATTATTAGTAAATATGGTAGTAGATAGGAGAGCCTGCCCTGGGTAAGATGCTGCTTGGAAATGCTACCTGGGCCCACGTGAGCAGTGATGAGTAGGAGTGCATTTTTCAAGTTATACATGGGGCACTAGTTGTACCCTTTCCCAGGAAACAAAGACCTTGCCCTCAACATGCATGTATTGGTAAACCTAGATTTGATTAGCATAATGGGAAAATCCCATTCCACTGTGTGGAAAGCTCAGTTTGTCCTGAGTGCAGCAGACCAAGCTATTAATAAGAAATAGTAAGAAGAAACACATTACATCGGCCCTAAAAGAGCTACATTTGGACTGGTTTGCTAATTAATTTGTGATTAATTTGTGGGCAGATTTCAGAGAACTGGAACTGACTTTTAAAAGCCTAAATGACTTGTTATCTGAAGGAAGCCCTTCACATCCAGTATGATCCAATGAGGCTCTCTCTGCTAAGAATGCCACAACTATCTGAGGTATAAACAGGGTGTGACTTAGACGACAGTCTTTTCAGTGGCAACTCTTGCCAGCTGTTACTATTTTGAAGAGCATTTGTTAAAGTTGCCTTTCTGAGTTGGGCTGAAATTTAACCTCTGTGAACGATTGGTTTTTATGATTCTGCACTGCTTTGTCATTCAGTATTTTTATATTGACTCAGGATATTTGGCTAGACCAGAGTACATAAAATAAATGAAGGTCCTAATTCTGGGGACAGTTGCACGACAATGAGCCTTGTGGAACTCACTGGGATTTATCTTGGGGTGAACTCCCATATGCTTAGGCTGTAGTTTTATCCTCTCAAGCAGCTGCATGCATTGTTTGTGGCAAGGCTTTGGTGCCACAAGCACAGTTCTGTTAACAAGTACGGTTTTGTCAAGGAAACATAGGTATGGGTCATCTCCAGTGCAAGCAAGTGCATGTATTACTGCTCTAGCACACGCATGGCAGCCATTTCGAACTTTTTGAAAGACAGTATCTTGACATTCAGCTGTCCATGGGTGGTACTGACCTAGCTCACCGTCTTTCCCTCAGCATTCTTTGTGCCAAATACACATGCCAAAGCAACACAAACTTGGCACCTTGTTAGGCCTGTTGTCTTATATTTATGCCAGTCACCTCACATTTACTGTTGTTCAAACAAGATGAAAATAGTAAAATAAAAAAAGTATTAGAAATAGGTTGTAACACCAATTGTGTGTTATTTTTCTTTAAATAAATTGCTTTCATTGACCGTGATATATGTGAAACTATGACAATCAAAGAAACTGATCTATAAAATGTACAGGCTATAAAGGTTGGCTAAAGTGCAATTTTTTGTTTGATATTTATTAAAATTAAATTACACAGTAATTTTTTGTGCTCTGTTCTTGAACTATCTGTGGTAGCCTTGGGTCTGGCAAGAGCCTCCAAAGACTTTCAGTTCTTAGCTGATCAGCCAGATGCAATTCCCATAATTATTTTTGGCATAAGGTGCTGAGATTTTCATCCTGCCTCTCTCAGTTCCATGCAGAGAATGTTTCTTAATGCAGGTGCACCCCACGTGGTGACAGCTGGTATTTACCATCAGACAGACATGAAGGATTGAGAATTAACTGCATCCATCAAATTAGAAACATGCTAGTTCTTACATGTTGCCAGAGAATAACTAACAGCGGTCTGTACGTAGCTCACATTTGTAAGAGAACCAAGCTTCAGGTGAATTATGATAATCTCTTGATCTGCCTTTTTAACTTTTGCTTTCTCCCGGTAATCTACTTCAAACTCCTGATTATGCATCACATGGGCAAAATGGATAAAAAGTCTTTCTTCTTTTCTTATAACGCTGGAAACTGGAGCCATCTAATGAAGCTGAATGTTGGAAGGTTCAGAGAAGACAAAAGAAAGCACCTTCACACAGTGCATAGGCAAATGAGTGAATTTGCTGCCACAAGTTGTAGTGATGGCCGCCAATTTGTATAGCTTTAAAAGAGGAATCACTGCAGATGGTGACAGCAGCCACAAAATTAAAAGACGCTTGCTTCTTGGGAGAAAAGCAACGACAAACCTAGACAGCATCTTAAAAAGCAGAGACGTCACCTTGCCAACAAAGGTCCGTATAGTAAAAGCTATGGTTTTCCCAGTAGTGATGTATGGAAGTGAGAGCTGGACCATAAAGAAGGCTGATCGCTGAAGAATTGATGCTTTTGAATTATGGTGCTGGAGGAGACTCTTCATGGACTGTCCCATGGACTGCAAGAAGATCAAACCTATCCATTCTTAAGGAAATCAGCCCTGAGTGCTCACTGGAAGGACAGATCGTGAAGCTGAGGCTCCAATACTTTGGCCACCTCATGAGAGAGACTCCCTGGAAAAGACCCTGATGTTGGGAAAGATGGAGGGCACAAGGAGAAGGGGACGGCAGAGGATGAGATGGTTGGACAGTGTTCTCGAAGCTACAAACATGAGTTTGACCAAACTGTGGGAGGCAGTGGAAGACAGAAGTGCCTGGTGTGCTCTGGTCCATGGGGTCACGAAGAGTCGGACACAACTAAACGACTAAACAACAACAAAAGAGGAATAAACTAATTCATGGGGGATAAGGATGTCAGTGGCTATGTTCTGCCTCCAAATATCAGTTGCTGAGACTCACAAATGCTTATGAGATTCTTATAGGCCTCTAGCTTTTGGCATGATCCAGAAAGGCTCTTGTATTCTTACCAGATGAGGCATCTTTTTCAGCCCGAGGGGCCACATCTTCTAGGGCTCAATGCAAAAATTGACCATGGCCACTCTACATTTGCACATTCTGCATGCAAAGCTGATGTTCTACCACTGAGCTATGACTGTCCCTTCCTGGAGAACTAGGGATGTGTGTGTGTTTGTGTGCGTGCATGCAATTGCCAGCTGTGAAGGGAGACATGGGAAAACACTGCTTATGATGCAATGTTCCAGAAAAGCTTACATAAAGATTGAAGAAAAATAGAAGTTGCCCTGATCTACCACATTATGTTATTTAATTTCAAGCACCATTGCCACTGCCAATCCCCATACTGCTGGTTCCTGATCACAGGCCTGTCCCTCTTGCATACTGTAGCTAGCCAGTAGTATTCAATGTACAAAAAGCTACACTGATGACAGCTTTACAGTACTTTATTTCTCAGTGCTCACAGGTGTAAACAACCTATTTCTTAAACACAAAATACTCTCCAGTTGGTTGTCAAAAAGCACAAGGTTTTCACTATGTCCACAAGCATTTTTAAAAGGAAAGTGTTCAAACATAAATGGAATTGCTCTTAACACAAAACTATTTACAGAAAATGTGTTTCACAAAATACAGTTCAGGTTTAAAACATACAAAAAACCGATTTATAGAAACGTTCAAAAATCAAGCAAGTTTAATTTATTGCATTTTTTTTTTAGGTTGACAAGACACACCTGTATAGGGATCAAAACTGCCAGTAATTTACTGTTTTGAAATATATTGTGATTTGCAAAGGGTAAGGAATGTTTTAAAAAAATAGTTTACATTTTAAAAAACAGGGTAGATAGATGTCTTAGGGTGGAATTTACTTAATGAATGCTGTCAAGGGAAGCCCTGTGCAAAGACTTTCAGGCTTTCCCCAACCTCTGGCTCACAGAACCCCAGAACAGCATGTAGGGGAGGAGGGAGGGTGGCTCCATCTGGCAAGCTGATCATGCTTGGGCAGAGAGAATATTTGTAATATTCCACTCTTCGCTTTTTTCCCTTCTAGCTGGGGATACTTGTATAATCTGCTCTCCATATATAGCTAACTAAAAACACCAACTCAGTACTATCTAACAGCTAGAATGAGCTTAGGATATGTGTGTACGTAACTCTGTATACAAGGAAGGAGGACAAAAACTTGTTTTTCTCCCAGGGAAAGAAATGCAGGAAAGAGGCCCCAACTGAGATACAGTGGAACCTCGGTTTTCGAACGTAACCCATTCCGGAAGACCGTTTGACTTCTGAAATATCCAAAAACCAAGGATCAATGGGCGGTGGGCAAAATCCATTGAAAAAACGGAGAAACATGCCTCGGAAGCCGTTCGACTTCCAAGGCGGGTTTGAAAACGGAAGCAATTACTTCTGGGTTTCGGCATTCGGGTTCCAAATCGTTCGGTTCCCAAGATGCTCGAAAACCGAGGTTCCACCGTCCTATTCTTCTGCTTACTCTAGTGGTTAGCTTTGTCAAATATTTCCAGCCCCCGTGCTTACTTATTAGGAAGCAAGGATGATGTAAGAATGACATCAGGTGGGAGGGGAAAGTTGCAAGGACAACATTTCTAGGTCCATGCGCACACATTTTTTCCTTCCTTCTCAACAGCCAACTCTAGTAGAACACACTGGGAACCAGTTAGTTTTATTGTAAGTTCATGGTATAGGTCCATTTTATGGAACTCCTGATGTTTGGAATTTTGTCTTATCCATATGGGTTATGGTATTGGCAGTTATGCTCACCACATCAAGTGGTGTGTAAACCCTTCCTTTCAACTTAGAAGCAGTAAGAGTTGGTGGGTATCCTCCCAGCAGTTTTGCTGTGCTCCCCGAGAGAAAAGAAGAGAGGGGGGAGCTACCTGCAGCCGCTGCTCGGTGGTGGGTCTCTGTGGCGCACCATCAAGCATCAGCAGAAGCTTGCACTATCCCCCTTTCTCTCTCACAGGAAAGAGAAGTGAGGAGATGAAGACACCTTCAGCAGCTACTCAGCAGAGAGACTTGGCCATGCATCAGGTGAAGCTGGAATACTTTCCTCCAGTGTTTCCTACAGGAAAGGAGCAATCGTTTTTGCTGTTGGGAGAAGGTGTTTGCTTGCAGCCAGCCAGCTGGCAAGCAGAAATAGCCTGGCAATCATAATTTTTGGCTTGGCTAGCAAGGCCAACCAAAAAATGCAGACCTCCAATTATCGTCACTGCAAAAAAAAATACAGACTTGCATCCCCCCAGCATTTTCATGGAAACCTCCTGCAGTTTTAATTTTGAATCTGATAACATTACAGCTAGTATACATTTCTACATTTTTCATAAACATTTTGAAGAAATTGGAGGCCAAATCTAATATACAATGCTTCCCACGTTTGAGGGAATCACTGCAATTTGAAAACTTACAAAGAAAATCAATTTTAATTTTATATTCTGTTTTATTTTGTTAATGCTCATGTTTCCGAAGCTTCTCATATTACATAAAAATCCAGATCTCAGAGTCAAAAAACCCAATTGCTTCTTTAACCGTTATTTTACACTTGAAACATATAAGGCCACTGTGCACATGGAACATTTTCTACATAGATATCACTTCTATACAGAAAACCTTGCATGTTCTCTGGGCTCACAGTCTCTCATAGACGCTGCATACAGGAACTCCCTGCTAACCATGGTTTTAGACCACATATAGATCATCACGTCTGACAAATGCACACACGTACATGCAGTCTCATAAAAGGAAGTCGCATGTGGAGGAAAGCTATCATGTGCAAAGTGATTTATAGGGAACCGAATATTTTAATTTTCAAAAAAGCATGACCAACATAATTCAAACATCATGCTGCAAAGTCAGCTACAATTTATCCCAAACTCCCAATGAACAGTTTGTGTCAGTTAACATTTAGTGGTATCAGTATCTCCTGTAGCCTCCTCCCCCTCCCCTTCCACCATATGACTCACCATACCCACCTCTCCCACCATAGCCTCCTCCCCTCCCTTGAAAACCCCCTCCCCCTCCTCTCCAACCTCCACCCCCTCCTCTACCACCACCCCCTCCCCCCCAGCCACCCCCTCCTCCTCGACCTCCTCCTCTTCCCCCTCTACCACCACCATCTTGTCTCTTCTGCCAAGGGGGCATTTCAGGTGGTGGTGGGTCAATTTCTGTTGGTCTGCCTCCACGATCTGGTACTCTTCCCATCAAGACCTGCAGTGGAAGCAAAGTTTTAAAATTTTATTTTAGTACATTTCTATTCCATATTTCCCCCATCACTGAGCACATGGGGCTTCCAGGGGATGCTCTCCTATCAACGCCCTGAGATCTACAGGTATAGGGGTGGTATACAAATTTAATAAATAATCCAATAATAATAATAAAGCCAGAGGAATTCAGATTCCTCAGTGCACAGTTACCAACCTCATTAGATTACTAGGAAGACATTCAGTTATTAAGCACTTCACACATTAGACATGTTTACAAGCACTGGCGTATTATGAATGGTTGGGTCAGCTCAAGAAAGCTCCTAAAGCTCATCTTGCATGAGGGGGAAATCCTACCTTATTGATAGAGCAAACAGTCTTTTCTCGTGACGATCCACTGCTTGTTGTTATGATCTTCGACAAGTCTTCACGAGCTGCTAGAAGATGGGCTAATGAAATAGTTGATTTAGGAGAGAGTCCATAACGTTTGGGTTGATAAATCCTTGCAATATCATCTGTTTTCACCTTAAAAATAAATGTAGACATATTGCAGAGTTGCAGAAATATTAAAACAAAAGCGGGGAGCACTTTAAGTTATGTCCAATATGCCATGTGTTCCTTTTTGCAGTCTAGTATCACATACGGTCCTTGCAACAAGAGGAACAGCTGGCCGAACGCCTTAACAACATTTGTCGCTATTTGAGTAATGCTATAGATGAGGAAGGTTGCAGTTAGGAGGTAAAATGAATCATACATGCATTCAGAGCTTTATTTTAAGGTAGTGTTGTTTTTGCTTCATAGCTCCCACTGCCAAAGTTGCAAGCCAGTTTTCAGTTTAAGCAGCAGCTTGTCTCTTCAGCTGCCAGCACTCATGCAGAAGGAATTTCAAAGAAACTGCAGTTGCACACATCGTTCTTGGCTATATGTATACCTTTGAACTAGTATTTTTAACAGAAAAATATCTAATACAATCCCTTTTTTAAAAAAAACCCCACTATTCCCTTGAATGTAAAGAGAAACCAGTAACTAGGATTCTCTCTAGTATTTACAATATAAAACTGTTATATTAACAAATTGTGCATCGTCAATTAAATGCTTATGGAACCACAGGAGAGTCAGCTACCAGGAAGTTGATAAAACATGTTTACCTTTGCTCTATCGGACCAACCAAAGGACTGTACAGTTACGTCTAAGCGCTTCATTAACATACGACGACGGCATTCATATTCCCTGAGAAGAGTCTCGTTTATTTTTTCCAACCTTCCCTATGGCATTGGAGCACAAAACAGTTCAATAGCAGTCTAAAATACAGAAAATACTTTAAATAGTCACAACACTTTTCAACTACAGGTGCTACAAATTTCTTCTTTTATGTCAAAAATCATAGAAGAATGCATTCACTTTTGATCCAAATAAAGACAGAAAAGCAAAAAGCCGCAATCAATTTCAGCAGGTATTTGTATGCTATTGAATATAAAAGTGAAAAAACTTAATTTTTACCATTTGATCTGCATTCAAAGGAGTTTTAAGCAGAGATTTGCCCACATAAGTGTTTGGCATTTTTGATAAAATGTCCTTAACCTGAAAAAGTAAAAGATACATATATTTATATAAAACCAATTACAAGAATCCTGTGTATCTACATAGTGACACTAAAGTACAATAGAATTTCCGCAAAGACAATTGGATCCTTTCTCTCAATGTCATCTTATGAGATGATTCACACAGGCAGGCCAGATGCTTCTTCCCCCTCACCACATGACTGACTCCTCCTGCCTGTGCCCAAGTATGGAAGAATGCCGTGTTCCCTGGCTGGTTCACTTAGGAGTGAAACACTACCTTTCTTCTTCAGCTGCTGTTGTGAGAAGATGCTAGGTGCTGCAGCCAGAGTAAGCAAGGGGACAGCAGCGTGGAGAGGGTCAAAGGGCAGGCAAAACAGCTACCACACATAAGAGCTGCTACAGTCACCTAGACTTCTTTCTGGGTTCCTGTGCAGATTTCTTCACACATGACAGGACATCTAATGAGGAAAGGGGTTGTATGGCTGTCCTTACCAATGCAGGCTCCATTGCTACCACACACACCTGAGGGTGGGGGGTGGGGTGGGGAATCATAGAATCACAGAACTGTAGAGCTGAAGGGGACCATGATGATCATGTAGTCCAACTCCCTGCAATGCAGGAATCCTTCACCCAAGGTGGGGCTCCATGGGCAACAACTAGGCAGGCTTCCCCTGATGCCATAATTCTTTCCAGTTGAACAAAAACATAGGGCATTTCAGAGCAACTACTAGCTGTGCCATTCTTCTAGAAAAGGGGGTGTCACAACTCACCATGAGCGCCTCCCTCTATGTTTTAGAATGGCAACGGTGCCCACCTGAGAGGTGCCAGAACTCACCTGAAAGGTGTTGGAACGGAGTTCTGGGGAGTTCCCACTGAAAAAAAGCTCCTAAACAGGTACCCTATTTGCCTGTCACCCTGAGAAGGCCCTTTCAACTCCTTGGCTTTTGTTTTTTCACAGGGGACTGGGGCTGTGCAGGTGTACAAAACTCATACCAATGACACTCAAATGTAGAAAATACACACTGTACCTTTGACTCTATATTGCTTAATAAGACCGGAATATCAGAAGATGAAGGTGATGACTTTGGTAGACCCAGGACGTCGCAGATCATTTGGATTTCTTGGTGGATGTCATTATTCTTCGTCAAATGAGAACTTTTATGTTCTTTCAATTTCAATATTTGCAAAGCCTGAAGTTCTGTGCTTAAAAATACTGGAGGTGGGGGGGAGATACGTAAAAGCTAGAGAAGGATCCGTGAATGTGTTTCAACAAGCAAACCAGTAAGATTAATGCTCTCTGGTCAGAACTGGGTGAGGATGTAAATATGAAAATTAAACAAGATGCAAAGAAAAAATGGAAAAGAATTTAAAAGCCATGTCAGTGTTACAACATTTTCAGCACAAGGGCTACAGAGACCAGGCAGTGAACAACCTTGCAGGGGCCACATGCCAATGGTTGGCAGGACCAGAGGCAAAAGTGGGTGGAGCCACAGATGAGTGGAGCCTGGCCTTTGGAATGTGGGTGGAGCCTGGCCTTTGGAATGCTGCTTGCTGCACTGCCATGCAAAAGTCAGAGATCTCCCCTTCCACCCATTTCTATCCAGGCAAGCAAGAGGCATTGTTTCAATCCAATGACACATTTCAGCCAGCAAAAGCACTTGAGGGCAGGGACAGTGAGGGGCGGGGCTTGGGGAGAGGGGGAGTGGCCTGGGAAGAGTCCCAGGGGCCAAACAGAGGGCTGAAGAACTGAATTTGGTTTCTGGGTTCCACACCCTTGCTATACAACTGTTGCACATAATAATGTTTTAAGTAATAATGAACGATGAAAAATGCATCTGAAATATATTTTGATATAAACTTCCTTTTCAGATTATCAGTCAATAATTTAATGATGTGTTAGGAAATCCACATCTAGGGAAACCCCCTCTTCCCCCTTAGAGGAAATAATCTGTTGGTTGGTTCATACTGATCAATCCCATTGCAATTCCTTGAAGATTAGCAAGAACCAGGCTGCACTCTGGAAAGGAGCATCTGGTCTAGAAATAATGTTTGCCTGATTCCAAACAGAGCCCAGGTCACACAAACCATTCTCTGCCCAGTTATAAATGCAGAAATGTAATGGGGTAGAAGTCAGCAGTGGAAACCAGCCCTGTGACTTCCTGACAGGCAGATATATGGCAGCATAAAGTGGACCTTTTTTTGTTCAGTTCTAAACTATTGTACCCAGGTTTCAAATATTATTCTCTGCTGCCATGTGGCTCCTGCAATGCATAAGCCTGGATGTAGGCTGTACAAGGCCAGAAAAAGTGGGCCTTTTCTGTCTCCAGAATTCTGCATGAAACAAAACAGTCACCTGTAAAACTGCAAACAGAAAGACTCTGGTAACTTACATAGGACTTTAAGACAATCTTCTTTCTTTTTTAACCGCTCTTTAATTTCCCCAGACACAAGTGATGAATATGGACAAGCCAGCTCTTTTAAAAAGCCACTCATCTCAAGCTGTAAACTTTCAACGTCTTCACCACCTTTAAGAACATAGGGGGGAAAAGTGTCATACCCTTAAAAAACCCTCATATCAGGTTCCAGCTCTGGTGCTTTAAAAAATAGTTGGGAACCAGGTGAACTAATTCAGAAAAAAATATCATACAAATTGCTCTTAAGATTTTTAAGTAACATTTTGCTGGGAAAAACCCTAATTTTAAAAATCAGAATAATGTGATGCTCTGAACTAATATCATATCCTCCAGAATTAAGTCAGTCCAACAAAAAGACAGAATGAATGGCACAGAAACACAACCTGAATTTATTTTTGTGCAGGGTATTTTGTATTTTGCAGCAGCAAAGAACAAGAAGTATAAACCCATTACCGTATTGGCCCGAATATAAACCGCACCCGAAAATAAACCACACCTTTAAAATTGGAGTGAGGAAAGGAAAACAAGAAAAAATACCCAAATATAAGGTGCTTCATTCCTCGCTGCTCCTGGCTACATACAAGAGGCTCCCAGCTCTGCAGTTTCACAAGCTAGAAGGCAACTGAAATCAACACTGTGTATGTGTGCAGCTAATATGTTTCTCTCCACTGCCTCAACTCACACGTGATACCTTTTCTGCATTCCATTCACTACACCTGAAAAAGACTCGGGTCTCTTTTCGTCTGCCTTTGTAGGGAGAAGTCAGGTACCTTTCCTGTTTTAAAGTGCTTGTGTTTGAGTTTCGGTTCAAGCAATGAAGGTTTTAGGGTCATGTTCACCAATATAAAAGAATCCTCTTAATTTTTTTGATCATTTTTTTGATCATTTTTTGATCATTTTTTGATCATTTTACATGATCAGTTCAACTCTGTTCAATCAGGTGACAAAACAAACACAATTCCCCCCCTTCGATAATAGATCTACAGGTTAGAAAGACTGTAGAAACATCACTACTTTTCTTCATTAATTGTGTTAATACCACAGCAGAATGTCAAAAATCACTTCAATTATCTCCACAACAAATTTATTTCCAAAGTGAAACATTCATGAGATGTTTATAGATAAATTACAAAATGGAAAGCTATGACAAACACACAAACAAGATTCCAACAGATTAAAATCATGTCAAATTACCAGCTGTTGAGGAGATGCTTTCTTCCAAGTCACACAACGGCTGTATTTGGGAACTTAACCAAACACAAAGATCGCAGAAGTCTTGTGAAGCCAGACCACTCTCAGCTGCTTTATTAAGGGCATCCTCATCCAAAAGAGGGCCTTTGTACCTGGGGAGCAAAATACAGAACACAAAACATATGACCTAAGTACAGGAATTAAAATTTAAAAGTAGAAAAATTGTTTCACTGTGGAATTTATTCAGTCATTCACAAATATTCCTTTATTGAAAAAGTAAGAGTGTATTATTGTTGGATAGCTGAGTGTGTGCAATTAAAGTGGTTGTGAATCAAAAATAACTCTTTGTTTACCCATTTTTAAAATGTATAAGGCAAACAGAACTTCAATATGGATATGTTTTAGCGACAACAAATCTGTACAATATGCAGAGGAGTGCCTAATGTAAAATTACGCCTCTCAAGATTATTTTTTGTAATAACAAAAGAATTGGCTGGGGGTTTTTTGGCTGGGGGGTGGGGAACAACTTTACTTCTTACCATTATGTCATTTTTTCCTTCCATCTCTTGACTCCACAGAAATGAATTAAAGGATTATTTTTATTATTTATTAAGGCTGCAACCAAATGTTGATTATATGAGTTTTAATCTATCAAATAAATTCACATATGGGATAAAACTATTTCGGAAGAATATGTTTTCATCTTAGAAGAACCATTCCTCCTGTGTGTGAGAAGTGAGAATGCCTCTTTTAACATGCATTTATATACACACTGTATTCAAATACTTTAAAAAATCAAAATCTTCTGCCTGATTAATCAGGGGCAATTTTTTTTAAAAAAGCCAACTACAAGTTTGTAAATTTGTTACTGTAAATGGATGGAAATCCCATGGCAGTTTTTGTACTAACATTTTTAAAGAATGATCAGCAATGTTTCAACATGTTGCCAATAATTACCGTATATCAAATGCCAAGCGTAACTGCACACGTTGCATTCCAAGGCATACACCTAGGTTATTCTAAATGCATCATACAGACTATGTAGTACTTCAAATATTAAAGGCAATATGCTTTTGACTAGTTGTTGCTGGAGAGCAAAATTGGGGAGCTTGTGGGCTTTCCATCTGGCTGGCCTCTGTAAAAACAGGATGCAGGACCAGATGGGCTTTTGCTATGAACTTTCCAGGATGTTCATAAAAGCTTGAACTGTAACAAGCACCTATAACATTACTGGATACATGTGAACTTCTGATTCACCTGCTACTCCATACAGAAGCAAGTGAGTACAGTACAGTGGTAACTCGGGTTACAAATGCTTCGGGTTACAGACTCCACTAACCCGGAAGTAGTACCTCAGGTTGAGAACTTTACCTCAGGATGAGAACAGAAATCGTGCGCTGGTGGCGCAGCAGCAGCAGGAGGCCCCATTAGCTAAAGTGGTACCTCAAGTTAAGAACGGTTTCAGGTTAAGAACGGACCTCTGGAACGAATTAAGTTCGTAAGCAGAGGTACCACTGTACAAGCCATCACACAGAGTTATGCATGCAGTATTGTGCTTCTGCTGTGTGTGACATCAATAAAAAGAAAGCAACATTTTATGTAACTAAGAATGAAATACAAAAATTCATTTAAAACTCCCATCTGTGAAATACATGCACATGCTAAGAATTTACAGTTCCAGCATTTGTCCTACACCCTGCCTATAATCCTAACCTCAATGCATTGTGTGTTTTTTTTAATGTGTTTTTTACACACTTCTCCAATGCTTGTTGGATGGAATTTCGTTTTGAGTCTAGTTTTGCCACATGCCAATTTCTCATTCAGGGACACCACACATGGGGCATGAAGAAGATAAAAAGTCCCTGGAATATGGTAGCATACATGGCAAACTATAAAACCTGGGGGTTCTTCCATCTCAATATGTACATCTTCTTCCCCCATCAAGAAAGCGCAGGCCAGGGCAGTTAAATAAGTTTAAGGCTGCAATAACTAAGCAACCTTACTTGGAAGCTGTGACACTGAAACCACAGAGCTTTCTTCCTTGTGATCATGTTAGGAGGATTGGGCTGCCAGTGGGACATCAGTATATAATCATTTGTACCCACTGATTCTTACTTTCAATTATTGCAAGACTACTATGGTGTTCTACCAATCTTTCTAGCTATTTTTTTTAAAATAAATAAATAAATAAACAATGCATGTATTTTGCATGTATTACCAAAGTTCTTTGGTCAAAGCGGGAGCACTCCTATTCAACTAATCAAATTAGCACACATTTGGAAGCGATAAATACTGCTGCAACAGAGCAGTCTCAGCAGTTGGTACTCAGTGAGCAATGAAAACTCTGTGCCTGTTAAACAGATGACGCTGCGAAGTTGAGAAACAAATGTCTACCTATTATTATTCATCAATACTTGGATATTATTTGTTTATTATTATTAGAATTTATATACCGCCCGATACCCGTAGGTCTTTATTTTCTTTTGATTTCTCTCCCAGTCTTTGATCAGCAGAATCAGAGCAGATGATTTTTGAAAGCGTGTCGCGCGCGCGCGCGCAAATGCCGCGCTTGGTCCACCCCGGGCTCCACGAACAATTCTCCCACGCACACGAGAGTCAAAGGGGCGGCCAAGGGGAACCCCGGGATTTCAAAGGGAGCGAAGGCACTGGCGGCGAGTATTTTAAAAGGGGTGCCTTGATTTGAACCGGATTGCATGCGCATCCCCGAGCGGCCCTCCTCTCCAGCCGGCCTTCCCGAACCACCTCTCTGCAGCGGTACCCCAACTTCCTCGCCCCGAGCTCCGCCGCCTCGCCTTCGCCCCGCTCACCCCAGAGCCTCCAGCGCGTCCAGGATGTCGCACTCCATTTTCGGATCCTGCGCCGGTGCCTTCATTGCCCGCAGCCGCCTCGGCCCCGCCCCCGGGAACGCCCGCCATCCGGCGCGCCGCTCAGACGGGCCCGGCTACCCTCCCGCTGCCCAGCCTTTTGGTTCCTCCTTGCAGTTCAAGCGCCCTTACAGATTAATCCCGATAAATCGGCACCGTTGCTAGGAATTTGGAAAAGGACGGAAAGAAGAGTCATGCACATTCGGGTGTGCATGATATTTCGCATAATCAGCAGCAGCAGTACGAAATCTCTTCAGAGAGCCGCCTTGGATGAGGCGGAGTCAGCTCAGCTTCTCAACTACAGTTTGCAAACTTTCCTGCAAAGCCTGCTCGCTTCAGTTTTTATTTCCCCACCATTGCCGGATTTACGTATAAACTAAACAAGCTACGTATAGCTAAAGGCTCCACTCTCTTGGGGGCCCCCAAAAAAATTAAAGGGGAAAAAACTACTAGATGTACATTTTCAAAATATAAGATAGAAAACAAATAAAATAAAACCTACATACAGCAACAGTGGCAAATGACTTTAGATACCTATTAGGTCCATAAATTACCATATAGCATACCATATAGCATATATTCATCACAAAAAACAGTGATAATTTGTTGTTGACAAAGGACAGCTGGACATATAAAGGGCCCCATTACCTCCAGTATCATAGGGCCTCATCAAACCAAAATCCGGCCCTGCCAATGCCTAACATTTGCCTGTTGGCCCGACGCAACACACGTCTACTCTGAAGTCAGTCCCGATGAGTTCAAAGCAAGGACATAAAAACATTCCTTTTTAACCAGGCCTTTGGTTGATTTGATTTGATTGACATCCTGTGCCCTTTAAAATGTGCTGGGGTTTTTTTGGGGGGGGGGTTATTGGGTTGTTTTTATTTTGATTATGTATTTTCTGGTTTTATATTTTGATTTTATTCTGCGGGCCTCCCTGAGACCTGTGAGTATAGGGCGGTATATAAATTCAATTAAAAACAGAAATAAGAATAACACTTCCAGATAAATAGGCACAGAACTGCAGCCTAAAATCTTCTGTTTCCCCCATTCAACATGAGCCTCTTCGGGAAAGGTTAAACAAATGTTCTTAAGTGTGGTTACTTGAACATGGGTGGATATGTGAATAAGAATGTTTGCTTAAAGAAAGACAAGCACATTATCTTAAAAAATTGATAATATATTTGAATAGCAAGGTATTGGGGGGGAGAAGCAAAAGCCTAGAACTTGATTCATTTTCTGTCTAAAGGGACAATAATGAACTGGGCTAAAACTAATCAAATGAATTTCAGTAGCTAAAGAGGAACAGGTCAAAGTTTCTACACTTAGGCAGGAAGACCCAGCTGCACAAATATAAGATGGGGGACACCTACCAGTAGTACTTGTGGAAATGATCTATGAGCTGAACATGAGTCAACAGTGTGATGCAGACCCCAGAATTGTGACACCCTTTTGCAGAAAAAGGTTCCTCACCCCTGAAATACAATATTGTCTCTCTGAAAGCTATTGTCTGTTGGTGACTGTGTTTGTATGAGAGTCTTCTATCAGACCACAACTATGTTTAAGGCATGAGCCATTGAAGTTCTGAAGAATATAGTGCTTTCCTTCTCTTTGAAGGTGGTAAATCCCTGATTGAGTTTCCTATACTTAAACATCATTTTAATTAGCGTGAAGGAACATGCTAACTCTTCACAACCCCAAGGCTATTTTAAAAAATATCAAAGCTTTCAGGTTATAAAGATAGGTTGGAGTATATTAGTTCTGCAGGGTACATTTAATTTGTTGTTAGATTATGTTGCAGATTAAGCTGTCACAGGAAACTGTCTTGTCAAAAGCCTGATGAGTAGGTATCATTGCAGTGGCATGTTTTGTATTTGATCTCTGATTAAGCTTCACACCTCTTGGAATGCAGGTCTGAACAACTCTCTTTCCACTCTATAAAAGAACAGGTCAAATAGGTGTTTTGTTTCTCCTTGTCTTTATGGTATTATACATCTTAGTAATAAGCCTGAGATGAATAATACTTTTATTACCGTATATTTTTGGGGGAAGCTGATAAAATGACTGGTTATGCAATCTGAACAACTATCCAGATCACATATGGGCTGAACTCACCACAGGCAAATCACTGGTCTTTCCATGATTTATTTCTGTTTAAATAATTCTCTGTATAGTACTGAGCAGAAAATTATCAGCCACTGGAGGGCATCACAGTGTAAGCAGCAAAGAGAAGAGAATGAGTACTTGAAAAACAATTTTGCTATTCTTTGCATGTTTACTCAAAAGTAAATCCCATTGATTTCCATGAGGCTTGCTTCCAGGAAAAGCATTGCACCCTCCAGTTGCCCTATTCAGTTTTAAAAACAATTTAATAAATTTCAAAATATAAGAAGATGGTGATAGTTTTGAAAGCACATGGTAGTTTATTGTTAGAAAAGCAGATGAACTAAAAAAAGAAGATCTCTTCTTAAATGTTGGTGATCAGAGAATTTAAGCTAGTGGTTAGATTTTAAAAATAACAACTAACCAACAAAGATTTAATTGAGTTACATTGAGGTGTTCTTAATGAAGTTCTATTTCATGCCTACCCTTTTTAAAGTAACATTTAAAATATTTTTCTCTAAATGGAATTCTCTTTAAATGCCCAGAGTTTTTAAAGAATAAGAGTTCACAAGGAACCCTTGAAAAGGATGGTTCATAGGATTTACTATGAGATCCAAATCTATGAAATGAAAGGTGTTAGCTAAAGTAGCCTTTTTGATAATGCCACACACAAAACAAGACACTTGCTGCACTGAGAAAGACAAGGAGCGATGCCCAGCAGATTGCTAGACAATGTGCCAGTGACTGCTAGCTAAAGCTGTGTCAGAGCATTCAACTCTCTGCTGACAGCGGCAACACTCACAAAATGTACAAAAGCATAAAGACGGCTTTTGGACCAATGGTCAGAAAAACTGTCCTACTGAAAACCTTGTCTGGAAAGATAATCACAGATCATAGCAAGCAGATGTAGTGATGGGTGGCGCACTATCAAGAACTGTACTCAGCAGAAAGCATGGTCTTCGCCACAGCAACTGACAGCTTTCCGCCTGTTTGGAAGAGCTGGATATTCCTGCCTCCCTTGAAGAATGCCATCAACTATTAGGCATGTGGTACCGTCGGGAAGGTAAACGGCGTTTCCGTGCGCTGCTCTGGTTCGCCAGAAGCGGCTTAGTCATGCTGGCCACATGACCTGGAAGCTGTACGTCGGCTCCCTCGGGCAATAAAGCGAAATGAGCGCTGCAACCCCAGAGTCGGCCACGACTGGACCTAATGGTCAGGGGTCCCTTTACCTTTACCTTAAAGTTCAGGAACAGGACGGAATCCCAACAGAAGTTCTGAAAGCTGACCTCATCTCCACCCTCATGATGCACCTCCATGGCCTTCTTTTGCAGTGCTGGAAAACAGTGCCACAAGACACACTCAACTCCAGCATTGTGGCCCTTTACATGGACAAAGGTGACTGACACCTTTGTGTAACAACTACAGTGGTACCTCGGGTTACCGGTAAGTACTTAATTTGTTCCGGAGGTCCGTTCTTAACCTGAAACTGTTCTTAACCTGAAGCACCACTTTAGCTAATGGGGCCTCCTGCTGCTGCCGCGCCGCCAGAGCACGATTTCTGTTCTCATCCTGAAGCAAAGTTCTTAACCTGAAGCACTATTTCTGGGTTAGCGGAGTGTGTAACCTGAAGCGTATGTAACCTGAAGCGTATGTAAGCCGAGGCACCACTGTACTGTTGAGTACTGTGGGGAAAATACCAACTCTGTGTTATAAAGATGTCTGCAGACCTAACACGGAGGTTGGCAACATTAACCCTGCCTTGTGGTGATCCCCTGCAGACAACTGCAACGCCTGGAGACAGTCAGGTCTTGTATCCACAGCAGTGACCAGAAGAAAAATGATTGCCGGGAGGAGCACAGAGAGTAGAAACGCCGTGGTGCATCTGCCCCAGTGAAACTGGACAGCTTCATCTGCCCCAGCTGCAATAAAATATGACTCGCCCATATTGGTCTTTACAGCTTGACTTTTGATGCACCCTTCCACTGACTCTCTCGAGAGACAGATGCCAACAACAATGAGATGCACTGGCACCAACTCCTGGGGGCCCTGGGGACTTGGGCATGCACAAAATATTTGCTGTGGATGCCTGGCCTCCACCCCTGCTGCTGCTGTGCCTGCTGCCTTACCTTTGGTGTTCCGGCGTCATGGCAGCAACAGGGCTGGGGCCTGTGCCTCCGTTGTGGGGCCTTTGTTGGGACTCGGTGCGGCCACAGACATGCTTGTGGGATGCAGCCACAGCAGGCCCCAACAGAGGTCCCGTGGCAGAGGCACAGGCCCCGGCCCAGTCACCGCCACTGTGTTGTAGTGCGCACACGTGCCATAATGTTGTGACGTGGTGTCATGACATCATGGCATGCATGGGCTGCACACCCACAGTGTGGGGCTTAAGTTGGTGTGCCTGAGGAGATGGATGGTTGAATAGTCTCAATGATGTCTTTGAAACAGTTTATACAGCAGAACCTCAGTTGTCGAACGTAATCCGTTCCAGAAGACCATTCGACTTCCAAAATGTTCAGCAACCGAGGCGCAATGGGTGGTCAGCAAACTCAACTGAGAAAATAGAGAAACTCTCCTCGGAAGCTGTTCGACTTCTGAGGCGCGTTCGAAAACAGAAGCAATTACTTCCAGGTTTTCAGCATTCGAAAACCGAAACGTTCGACTTCCGAGATGCTTGAAAACCAAGGTTCCACTGTATATCTACATAATAATGGCCATTTTTGTATTTTATTAGCGGTACTAAGGAACTTTTCGGGTGTGTCTAACAAACATGGATTAGCTTCAACTTTACATCTTTCCCACTGAAATCAACAGGATTAAAAAGTTGGATCGTGCTCTTATGTTCCACTAGCTCAGTGTATGGAGCTTATCTGTTCTTCATCCCTAACCAACTGAAATAAAACAAAAGCAGACATGCTGTGACATTGGCCTCTTCTGTAGCCAACCTCATCCAAGTGCAGTGTATGTTCCTT